TCCGTACCGAGTTGTCACATGAATAAAAGGGGTTTTCTAATCGTGGAAACGGGTATCCGAGCCGGCGCTGCGCGTGGGCGATTATCCTGCCTACAACGCTACCCCCCAGAACATATGGCAACTGAAGAAATGGACAAAGTGCCACAGAACATATGTATCCCCACCAATATCCCGTGGGGAGAACAGGGCCCCAGCCTTAAGCCATGAGGAGAAATGCCAGACGCTACAGGAAAGTCTCCTACCACCCCCACCGGACCTAAGAGATGCACCTCCAATAGATCTGGACCCAAGGAATGAAGACCTGGAGTACCTGTGTGTGACCAAAAGAGAGGTGCGGGACTCAATCTTCACCGCTGCTCAGCTAAATGCCCCAGGCATATCTGGCCTCACTGGCCATGCGTGGCACTGGGCATGGAAAACCTTGGACGAAGAGATATTCCACCTCCTCAGACTCTGCGCAGACTCAGGTTATCACCCGAAACTATGGAAGACATCCATAGCAGTAGCATTACAGAAACCCAACAGGGACTACTCACTCCCGCGTTCATACCGACTAATCCAACTACTGGAAGTCTCAGGCAAAGCGCTAGAGAGAATCCAAGCAAGGAGACTAGCGTACCTGGCAGCCAAACACAGCCTATTCCCATCAACCCATTATGGGGGTACCCCAGGCCGGTCCGCACAAGATGCCCTCATGACAATAGTCCATGACATCGAAGCCGCCTGGAACCACAAAAAAGTAGTCTCGACTCTCACCTTCGACATCACAGGTTTCTTCGACAACATCCCACGTGCCCATCTGATCGACACACTCAGAGCATACCACATACCACTACCAATGGTAAAATGGGTCCGTAGCTTCCTAAAAGACAGAAAAACAGCCATTAGCCTAGACGGGAAAAGGGACCAACTGTCAGGGACTCGTCCAGGGTCGAGGGGGTCCGGGTATAGCGTCCGGGACCGAGAGCCTGGCGGGGGGCGGATCGGGCGTGCGTACTGACAGGCCCGATGTGGGACAGTGGTCCCTGGCCACTTAGACTGAAGTGGAAAGTTGTTATTATTATTAAAGGAGAAATATTGTACTACTTACCTGAAGTGGAAAGTTGAGAAGAAGGCTACTTCTTCGGTTCCCACTTCAGGTTCGTTTATATACATGCGGCTTGGATCACATGACGGATGCCACGTCACCCTCGCACACAGCCGTAACCACCCGGGTGTCTCCGTGGGAGATCCCGAGGGTATCCGGTGCAGGCGCGCATGCTGGGCACAGCGGGAAGTCGCCCGAGGTGCCCGGGCTGGGTACATGGTGGGCGCGCTGCAGATGGGTCAGTTGTACATTGATACGGAGAAAGTCCTCCATGTAGAATAAAGAGAGAATAAAGGAGAAGTAAGATAAGGAGAAACTGAGGAGGGGAGGATGAGGGGGAAGAAGGGAAAGGGGGAGGAGGTAAGGAAGGGTGGACCGGCGGGGTACCGGGTCAGGTTGGGCCGGGTGGAGCCGGGTCAGGCGGGTGTGCCCTGACACCAACTGAGACCCACATCCACGGGTGTCCCACAAGGCTCATGTGTCTCCCCCATCCTAGCGGCATACTTCACATCTCCATGGACAAAGCTATTAGAGAAAGTGTCAGACAAACGGCCTTGGCAGACACGGAGCTAAATACCAAATTCAACAATGGTCTAACCACCCTCTTCCCTCTCACACTATACATAGATGATGGGTCCCTGTCGGCCGCAGCTCAAACCAGGGAGGAAGCAACAGAGGTTATCAGACTTGCCTTTCACGCAGCCCACAAGTGGCTCAGGGAAAGGGGCCTAAGAACCAACCCAGTCAAAAATGACCTAATGCATTTTACCCACACAGGCACGGGCAAGAATGCAGGGCCAGGCCCATCCATAACCATCCCATCCCACGAGGAGGACTCGGTCAAGACAATCACACCATCAAACCTAATGAAGTATCTCGGGTTATGGTTTGACCCCCACCTCAGATTCAACGAACATGTTAAGAGAGCCTCCTCAAAAGCCGCCGCAGCAGCACAATCACTTTGCATGTTAGGCAACTCAATGAGAGGCCTCCACCAATCCCACTTCTGCCGCCTATATATAGGAGCCATCCTCCCAATAGCGCTGTACGGATTGCCAATATACTGGAGGAGAAAAACCAAGTCAATAGTTAAGCACCTTTCTAGTCTCCAGAATAAGTGCCTACGCTTGATCACAGGCACGTTCCACACAACCAACATCATCGCCATGGAGATCAAGGCATCCATACCACCCATCGACATCCTCCTCAAATACAGGCTGAAGATGGAGGCCACCCGGTTATCCCGCCTCCCCACTGACCACCCTGTCACCAATCGCCTATACTCCTGGCAAAGACAAGGCACACCACCGACCACCTCCCCCCCCCACCCAATATACGACCTCCACAGAAAGTATCGAATAGACCCAAGAGAGAAATTCTCCACCTGCATCACCCATGTAGCGGACCACATCATAGCAGGCACAGAGAAGGTCGAGCCCCACCTAGAGGCACCATGGCATTTCTCCAAGCACGATCTAGAAGAAAGGATCCAGGTCTACGTCCCGGAGAACAGCCCAGGGTCATCCCCAAAAGAATCCTGGAAGGACGATCACTTGGAGTTCGTCACGGAACACGAAGATGACTTGGACTTCCTCTTTGTCTACTCCGATGGGTCCAAGACAGACGAGGACGGCCAGAGAATCACAGGCTACGGCATAGTAGGGTACTCGGCAGGCGATATCGTCTTTGAAGGGAACGGTGCGATGGGAGGCAATGTCGACACCTTCGACACCGAAATGATGGGCCTACGCACGGCAGCCGAACTAACCAAACGCTACCTAGAGAACAACCCAAACAGCCCTTCGAACATCGTCCTATACTCAGACAACGCCAGTGCAGTGAAATGCATCTTCCAGGGGAAACCCGGGAAGGCACAAGAACACTCGTGGGTCTTCAGGAACACGATAGGAGGGCTGCTTGAGGAAAAGGAGGACCTAAAAATTGCAATCAGCTGGTGTCCGGGCCACTGCAGTATTGCAGGAAATGACCGGGCCGACGAGCTAGCAAAGGAAGGTGCCCACCTTAGAACAGACAGGCCAGGTTACCACTCACTCGCATACGTAGAGAGCCTACACAGAGCAGAGATGGAAGAAGCTTGGAAGGCACGATGGTCAACCGCACCCAACCCCCCAGCTCCGGATTCCACCTGGCGAACCATATCGCCCCGACACTCAGACCCACCCTGAGGTTTAAGTCACTAGACCGGAAAACATTCAGCAGACTAATCCAGTTTCGCACCGGACACGCGCACATTGGGGAATACTACCAGCGCTTCGGCATTCATACAGAGAGCCAAGAATGCCAGTGCGGCACAGCGGTCCAGACACGAACCCACGTCCTACAAAACTGCCCGCAACTCAGGAAGTTTCGACACCTGCTGGGTAGCGGACGGCAGACCAGACCCATGGTGCTGATGGGGAGACCGAAAGGAATCCTCAGGCTGGCAAAATACCTAAAGAAGTCGCACGCCATCGATAAGAGACCCAGACTTATCATACCTCGGTTCCCATCGACCGAAACTTTCAAGAAAACCACCCATCGTGACAGCACTGAACCCGGGGAGTAACCCCATCCACAGACAAACCAAATCAACCCGAAACCAGACCCCAGAGGACACCGTCACCCCGACCCTACTAACCTGACGATGAAGAAATTTAACACTGCTAGCGCTATAGACTTATGTCATGAATTCAACTGAGGTAAACCAGGTGACTGGACAAATGACATAAAATGGACAAGCCTGGTATCGAACCCAGGACCTCTAGCGTGCATCCATACACTACTCGCCCGTTATGCCAGGGAGGTTACTCCATCCCTGATGGTTATTCCAACACTCGCCCTCAATTTGGGGTGTTTGTTGGAAGAACGACCTCGAAACCCATATTTACATATATTTGTATCGTATACCTTCCTAATTAAGAGTCCACTATATTCTCGTCCAGCCGCCCTCAACTTGTTTCTCTCTATAGGTTATGAGCCCAGGCGGCTCGCCTGGACAAGCTTAGGTATCAAGGAAGTCCGCCCGACTCTCGCGGCAGTTGGTCAAAGTGCAGTTGACCACCTTCATAAGTCCTCAGCAGAGGCAGGGGCAATCCCCCGTATCTTAAGTCCCATGCGGCATTTGTTAAGTCCTGTGAAAGTCCCCTCATGTACAGATGTAATGTAGTGGGATATGCCACTCTGTCACGTGCCAACACGACCGCGTGTCGGAAAACCCGGAATCTCATCTTAACGCGTTAAGAGGCTCCCAACGCGTCTCAACGCCTTATTAGTCCGTTCCAACGCTCAATGCAAAAATCAAATTGTAAATACTCAAACACACTATAACGTTATAGGATGCCTATATAGGCACAATGCTATATATGAACATGTTATATGGTTCATTATTACCATCGCACTCCGACTCAGGTAAATTATCGTGAAATATATATATTATATCGGTGGATGGCACCCCTTCAAGCGGAAATGTTGCTGAAGGAGAGAATCAATCACCTCACCCCCCACATCGCCCCTAACCCAGACGCCCGTGGATCCGAAGTCTGGAGATTGGGTGGTGTGGTTCAAAGTCGGACAAGATGGGTGTTGGAGAAGATGACAGTGAAGCGAGATCGAACAAAGATCTTGAAGGTCAGGTCCAGCAGGCAAAGTGTCTGCAAAAAAAAAACATGAATAAGGATGCCGGTGTGGGCAAAGCACATACTGTGGTGTGCCTCGGCACAGGCGCAAATTATTGTGCTGGCGAAAAAGAGGCATACACCACGGCCCTTTTAATCTTTCTATAGCATCACAAAGATGCTGTCGGTCCTCTTCCATCAAGCGCTGCCTCACTTGATCCTGGGTTTGACTAACACGACAGGCAGTTGTTCCGTCAATTCAATGGTATAAGCACCGGAATCAAGTGGATCCAAATCAGACAAGTCTCAGAGTCAACCAACCCGCTGCAATGGTATATTGGAATATTATAATATGGGAATACTCCGCCAACTTGAGATTTTGTGAAGCAATGAGCCAGAAACAATTTTATTTGGCGTGTCCTTCCACTTTTGTAATTCAGGACTTGTTTCCCTGAGCGGGCAAAGCCAATGTGGGAATGTCAGCATCTCCCGCGGGGCCGCTGATGCGTTGACTCTTGCGAACAGGTCCCTTAGTCTGGCTCTTCCGTGCTCCACGCTTCCTCCTCTGCTGGGCCTGTGGAACCAGCAAGACACCACTTGGCATGACACTTTCCTCAGCTGTCACTGTGTCCGCACCTGAAGTGGTTGCAGCAGGGCCTATAGGTAGTTCCGCAGCTGAGAATGTAGCTACATCCCCAGTGGCATGGCTGCCATTGGACAATTGCCCCCCAACCTGATGTTGCGCATGGGGAAGCATATCTGGATTCTGAGCCTTACGCGATGATTCAGCCTGTCTCATCGTAGCTGCTAATATAATAGACTGACCTCGGCATTTAATTCTGTTTCTTTTGTCATCACAACAGCCTTGAATTGCTCAAAAAATTCATGTTCTGCTGAAAAGTCGAATTCACTGTCTAAGTCCGCTTGCAATGCCAGCGCCTGTTCCGACTTCTCATTCCCACTCGATCTGGAAGCCTGCCCAAATAACCATTCATTCAGCTGAAATATCGTCTCATGAAATGGCCTTGGTTGCTCCTTTGGGTAGTTTTTTTCTGCATCAATGGCCGTGAAAATGCACTTCCTCCAGAAGTGAAATCGGTCTTCATCTTGATGCCGATCCTCAGGGGGAAGCAAAATCCTCCAGGCCTTTGACGGCGTCACCATTAGCAACAACAATAGGAAGATATGAGATAAAATCTCACCGAAACAGCTGCGAGGGCAACGAGTCCGGGCGTAACCTCCCGGATGTTGTAAAGTTTTGCAGTGCAGTTTGCTGCACTGACTTCCCAACAAGACTTGACCAAATTTTTTTCGTCATCCATCTCTGCAATTTTTCCAGCAAAGAGGATCACCGCAAGAGTCTGTAGTTAAGTAATTGTTGGCTCTCAGTTAGATAAGGTCACATCAATTGGCTCACCCGAAGAATGTAAAGAGACTGGAACATCCGGTGCTTTGGTTCGCCCTCTTCCATATGGAGAAGGAGGGGATCAATGGGATACCTTTTACGTCCATCATGCCTTCCACGCAACATAACTGCCCCTTCACAGGAGTGCAGTTCACAGTTGAAATTGGGGCGCCAGAATGGGAAAACCAAAGCGATTTTATCAGGACTATTCATCTGGAACCTGATAGCACGTCGCATTCCTCCAGCTGCCTCACGGATCTTGGTCAGGTCTATTAGTCCGATTCCTCTGTCTGAGGAAATATTACACACTGTTTGGTGGATCACGGGCTCGCTGATCCTGTTCTTGATTGTTCCCAATATTCTGGTCCATCCCAGAAACTCGCGTAAGTGCCCTTCTTGCATGAAAGCACTGTCCCACCGTTTTTCGGGGTCCCAGTGCGAGTCTTCACTCAGGGTTGTCAATAATATGCGTGCTGTTAAGAATGGGTTGACAGTAAGGGCATAGAGATGCATCAAGGCAGCGGCATCTAGTTCTGCTTTTGTTTTCGGACTTTTTGTCTGGCGCATTGGCGTTCTGCCCGTCTTCGGAATGCCTTTCATCCTTGCAGTGCTAACAACCTGAGCTTTTAATTGTCTGATCTGCACATCTTTTTCTGCAAGTTCCTTTATTTTTTCTGTCAACCAGGCTGGACGGTGAAAAATGCCAACTAACTTCTTGCATTGTGTGAATGTCCGAGGGCACCTGAAAAGAATCAAATGGTCTTCTTGATTCCAAGTTTGGGTATAGAGGGGGTTCCTCAAATGTGTTCATCGCTGCACAGCTGAAGTAATTGGGGACACAAGAATCCTTCCGATGCCGTGGGATTACTTAAGCAATTATCGAGGCCACAATAGCAATACATGACACAAATGGCATGAGCGCTCGGAAGCCATATATAGTGGAGGAATGTTACAGTCATGTCAAGGATGTATATGCTATGATAAATACATCTTCATGACAACATATCCTCGCAAAGCCGAGAATGCGTAATAGAGTAGTGGTTATGAATGTACTTACAGTGAGAATCGCGGTGTCCTTCAGTTCGAGTCCCGCATGTAACAATTATTAGTTCTGTACCTATTATGCAATGTGAGTTCCTCCAGAACTGCCGATAATGTCTGCTAGGTGTTGGATGCAATTGGACAAAGCCGGGCTTGCAGAAGGTTGTATCTTTTTGTTGACCCTACCTTGTTGCCGTTGCAACGCGTTGTAACGCTCAGAAACCGTTGTAACGCGTTGAAACGGGGGGGAGTGTTACAACGCCTCGAAGCGTTGGAACGATCGAGTTCAGCGTTGAGAGCGTTAGAACGGCACGTGCCGTTGAGAGGCGTTACAACGCCTCGTAACGGGTTACAACGCTTCCGCAGTGTTTTCCGACACGGGGTAACAAATATGATATCAACAACAACAATCCCCTTGCTAGTACCATGCTCTTGTGGGCAGCCTCTACCCTTTCGGTCCTGCTTTCACCTGGAAAGCTTGGCAGTGCTTCACCTTCAATGGAACTCATCTCTGATACTGCTGTAGCAGCGGCAGAAACGAGTCGCTTCTGCTTCCAAGCTTCCCCAATCGAACGCATTCTTAATTCCCAATAGAGAATTACGAGACCAATGCAGGTCGACGCCTATGATATGAATGGATTCATTACTTAGTCTGTTGCTCGGACGACTCGATTACGAAATTTAGGATAACCCTACGGGTACAAAACCTCAAGGGCGCACCCGTGCTCCTAGCCACTCGATCTTTGATCCTAATATCTTTGCGGTGCCAACACTAAGGCAGCCTGAAAAGAGTCATTGAATAATGCATTCTTCTGCTTATATTCAGATTGGCGGTCATCCATCTACACTACTCTGGTTTTCCCCAAACGTGGCCCACTCTAGGGATGTTAATCGTATGAATCTCTTGTCGGTTCAGCCGGTCATCAGCAGTGCGCACACATCCGCACCGCCAGAAGACAAAGGTGGGAGCGTACCAATCTTTTTTTATAGTTTGTCACTGGCTGGCTGAGCTTGTATTACTACCATCCTTTTCCTCGTGGCCGCATCTGGCTCTTCATGTCATGCCCCAGTATTTAATTTTTTTTGCACGTAATTGTGCAACGGTGATCTTGAAAGCAAACAAGGGCCGCATAGCTGTGCCATTCTAATCTGGAACAGCCAATCTCTGACATTAGTAAATCACCAGGCCAGGAACCTTCCCAAAACAATGTCATTTTATGAGCTCGACGGAGTCACCATGCGTCAATAAAAAACTTGTTGTGTTGGTGCGCGCACAACTCTCATCTATTGATTGGTACACATGGCTGAAGTGAAGCCCCTTTTCCTCCCACTGGCACTAGCTAGGCCATCCATCGACTTCTTCTTCCGTCTGATATATATTGGGGGGGGGGGGGGGGGGGGGGGGGGGGGGGGACTAGACCCATTTGTAGATCCCACTTAGCTTCGTGTCACCAAGAATCTAGTAATAGATTGGAAAGCGCTTGGCGAAAAGATCGTTGAATTGTTTTCCACGCATCCGAGGTCTGTCTGTTGCCCGCCTAGTTCAGCATCATTCGTCGCAAAGTTATCCCCGGTTTACTGCATCTACGAGATATACATATCCTTCTTTTCCATCACGAATTTCTTTTCGTGTTCATTGACCGTATGTTTCATGCGAACTACTAGTACAAGGTTTTGAAGCTACAAATTTGCTTCATGTTACATCATCTTCGTAGATAAAGGGGTAGAAAAGATTCAAGGGAGGAGGTTCACCAGACGGTGTGCCCACCACATACGAGAATGCTAATCGGAAAAGGACGGGTTTGGTTGGGGGGGTCAGTTACTACTGAAAAAATTTTATAACGGAATGTTTTTTTGGTTAATACTCAACTCGCTTCCCGTGCAATAAGCGCTCGAATCGCCCGCGAGCCACGCAGCGACACCTCGAAGCTCCTCCGGCAACCCGAGTCGGCCTAAGGGATTCGCAGAAGCCCACCTTTCATGCAGTTCGGGCTGAGCCTCGAGTGCGGCAGCTGTCATTTTGGTGTATATATAACCTGTTTGCAGCAAATATCCCCCCCGTCAGAAAAGTGAGAGAGCGGAGTTATTAAAAAAAAAAATATGATTCAAACGAATCGGTAATTGTTTGGGGGGGAAAAGGAAAATATATATACTGACCCGGTGAAATTGTGTTGACTCGGATTCGCTGAGGTCCAAAGTCAGCAGCCATGTTCCGGGCCAATTGGAGAACGGCGGATTTGGAGGTATTGTATGCAATCCATTCGTGGTCCTTTTGTTTTTATTTTTATTTTTGGTGGTTTTCGTCGAGCCCCGCCCCCGGAAATCGAAATTAGAGAGAATGAGTTCGACTGAAAAAGTCCCCCCCCCCCTCCAAAAAAGAGTGTCTGAAAATTTAATGAGCTTACCCTGTTCACGACTGTACCACTGGCAGAGGCGATCATGATGATAGATCCCCCTTTTCCAAATCTAACCACTGCAATCGAGGGGGAAAAAATTTTTCGTCATGTTAGCACCCTTGGAGAAGTAATGTCCTCGGGGAGTTAAAGCTCACTTTGCCGACCAGCTGCTTGGGCAGTGTGGAGCACGCCCTTGACGTTTACGGCGAGAACCTTGTCAAATTCTTCCGTACCAAACTCCAGGGTAGGAATTGTGGGACCAAGGACGCCTTAAAAAACAACCCCAATGCAAATTGTCATGTCATGTCATTTTTTCGGCTGTCATCAACAAGGGGAGAGTTGCACATAATGAGGTTCTGCAAACGTACCAGCTGCGGCAATGCACACGTCGAATCTCCCTTCATTCGTACCAACTACATTTACCATTAACGTCTTAGTAGCAGAGAAATGGGGAAAATAAAGCTCACTCTTCTCAACTTCCGCTCTAATAGCCAGCTGGTCAGTGACGTCTCCACTGATGTACTCAAGCTTTCGCCCTTCACCCATCGCTTTCACATAGTTCGCAACAGTCTTAAAGTCATCCGAAGGAGTCGACGGAAGATCGATCGCATAGATTTTGGCTCCAAGCTCGCACAGTGCGAGAGCCATCTCGAGTCCAAGACCACGGTTTGCACCTGATACAATCTAAATTTGACATGACGCGTTAATGCGGATGATCGAACAATATGGTGGGCCAAAAAAAAAGGGAAAAATGGGGAAGGAAAAGGGGAATTCTCCCTCTCTCTCTCAAATCGACAACAATTGAAGAGTAGGGTGAGGTGACAGAATCAAGGGGAATACATTGCTTACCCCTACTCGATCTTTCAATGCGAACTCGTTGAATATCGATGGTTTGGGTGCAGATACGCCAAAGCTTCCATCTTGAGCCGCCGATAAGACCTTTTCAACACTATGAAGATGTCGAGGCTGAGATGCTACGAGAACGCCTCGTCTCAACAAACCACCGACGGGAGACGATGATGTAGGACTGGGAGTCGACCACCCGAGTCTATGCGCAGTGAGACGAGAACAATTGGAACCCCGAAGCAAAGAGAACATCAGTAAGTAACAAATTGATAGGCTGCAGGTGGCGAAGGGGGGGAGAAGGAGCGAAGGGGATTCAGTCTTTGGAACTAAACGCACAAGGACAAGATAGCAGTGAGGCTAGATATATGGAGTTTAGAAGTGGCCTGAGAATAGATAGGGAGTGGCCTGAGAATATTTAGGAATGGCCTGGGAGTAGGACCGGCTACCCAGGATACTATCTATAAATCCGGGCCCCTTTGCCTGTGGGGTAACCTATACTCTTTCAAATTTCTTCGTCAATGTAAGTATCCGGGAAACGTCATTTTACGCCGAACTTGGTGAAATCCGTGTATTGTGGAATAATAATGGCGAGCCAATCGGAAACTCTCCGCCCGATGTCAGTGTGAGCAATGATTAACAATGCAAGTATGTACATACATAACATACCACTTCTCTTGCTACCGCCGGTGAAAAAAAAAAAAAGGAGCACGCCCGTGCGGCTCCCCCTCCCCCTCCCCCCGGTGCCTACAAAAACGAGATCCAGCTATTATGATAACCCCTTTGTTTCTAAAATTAAGTATTTTTTTTTACTGCCCGATGAGATTGAAATATGAGCTCGAGCCGGATTGCCGGAACACAAGTATAGTAACTTATGCCATGTTACCCCCCCCTCCAACCCCCCCTCCAACCCCACCTCCAAGCCTTCCCCCCCCCCCTTTTTTTTTCATTTATTTAATTCCCACCGTTGTACATAGCCTCCCCCTCCCCCCCCCACAGTAAGTTGGTTGCCCGGTTGTTGATTAATTAATTTTATGTAATTTAGTTTGCGAATCACACATGTGTTCCTGACGGGTCAATCACCACCAACCATGCACCTCGGCCATTTAATATGCCGTCTCACTTTGTCCTGGTCATGACATGCCCTGACATGCTTCTTCATGGTAATCCCCGATTACATAATACATCAAGTAGTTCGTCTCCCACTGCCATATATATATTTGCCGATAGTTTCTCGATCCATATATATATGGTCTCGACAAGCTTTTTTTCCAGTGGAAAAAGAAACTGTGGATGAATAAGTAATTGAAGTGACGCAAGCAAAAAAACAATATTATCTTTTTGCACCAGCTGACCACCCCCCCCCCCAATGGCATGAGTTGTTTGGGAGGATTCACCTTCCGCAAGAAACACTGGAATGGGTCGTGGTGCGGCCGCCCCCGCGCGCACACTCACATGTGAGAACAAAGTTATGTGACGATCGATCAATTGATCCGCACGAGCGAGGCGCCTTCAACGGAACAACAACAACAACCAAACAACCACCCCGCAGACGCGAGAGCATCCAGCTAGCGCTTGTGTATACGGTCTTTCGTCTCGTCGGATATGAACGACGAGACAAAACTGAACAACAGCGGGGCATGAGAATGACAGATTTAAAAAATATAAGGAAGACCGGCCGGCCCATTGATGATACATATATATTTTATCGTCGTAGTGGATAATTTGGTTACAAGTTCATGATCAGTCAATCGAGTGAGTAGTGGTAGTTAAAAGTGAGTAGCAAAAGAAAAAAAAAAGCGGGTCTATCTATCTCCTTGTGCATCGAACAAAATATCGTCAAGGGAAAGGAGAGAGAGAGAGAGAGAGAGAGAGAAAGGAGTGAACGGAGACGATTTTCGATGATGGATGATGATGATGAACAATACAGCGTTGACCGGGAGAAAAAAAAAGAAAAAACAACGGCGGAACGGACCCCCCTCCCCCCCCCCCCCAAATACCCATTGACAGACAGCCTTCCTCAACCCAACCCCCAACCCTTAACATATATACACCCATGGGGTGAAAGGGAATCCATGCACTAAAGGTAGAAGTGTTGGTTTTTTTTTTTACGAAGACACAAATTATGAGCATGTTTGTTATCGCAAGAAAAAAAAAAGCCGCGGGCTAGCTAAGAATCAACCGTCCTTGTCACGAGGCTCTAGTTGGACGTGCATGCTGAATGCTGAAAGAGGGTATACTGGTTTGGTTCTCTCTCCTTGTTTTAAGCCTAAAAGGGCGGAGGGGGGGGGAGTTGGAGAAAAGAGGATGCGGAAGTCAAGTAAGAATCCCCACCTTCCTTGCATCGTGATCTGATCGTAGAAGAAAAACAGAAATCGCATATAAAAAAAAGTTTCTACTTGATTTGCTGATTGATTGATTGATTGATTGGCTCGGCGTGCGCCCTCCGAATGTGGCGGAGGAATAGATTGGGGTTGACCATGTGAGTGATTTTAAAAAAAGGGACGTTGGGGTAATTTAATTGCACAATGGTGAGAGGTGGGACGAGAGAATCTCGTGAGAGAGAGAAGGAATATATATATATGTGTGTGTGTGTGGATCTTGGGCTTGGGGGACTGGGGGAAGAGTCAACCCGTCCCACTGGTTCGTTGAAGGGGGGAGGGGAGGAGGTAGTTATTGAATTAGTGGCCCATAATGTCGGACAGGCGCTTGTGGTGAAGGGCACCCAAGCGGTGTCATCCAGTTGGGGGGGGAACGGGTCATGGACGGCCCGGCCGCCGCATGAGAGCTAGAAGATAAGATATAGGGGGAGGAAAGTATATAGCCATATATGCGAACGAAGAGAGGAACGTGTGATCAACTAAGATGGCGGTTGTATGAGTGTGTGGGACAAGGGGGGAGGGAGAAGGTGGGGAATAGGCTACATGAGAAATTTCTTTTTTAATCCCCGATCCTAGACGCGCGTCGTCGCTGGACCGTGTGGTGGTGGTGGGGGTGGATAAGCTTGGGAATGGGAATCCTGATGATTCCCATTCGTGTATGGATCCATTCCTCCATTCAAATCGTTCGTTGGGGATGGGGCGTGAAAAGCCAATAAAGCTTCGGCGTTATCCGCAGTGTTGAGCATTCTCTCGATGGAATCGAATGCGATGGAGCGTGCCTGGGAATGAGAATGTTTGTTGAGGGGAAGAAGAGGTGTTGAACAATGTGTGATCGAGACAAAGAAGAAAAACTTGACGTACGAGAACGTAGCCACCTGGAGGGATGCGAGCGCGTGTTTGAGAGATGAGAGAATGAATGACGTCCATGCAGTGGTTGATTCTGTATTGTAATAACGAGCAGCAGCAGAGTCAGCAATTGAGTCAGTGGACGCGGGAATAGCAACTTCTTTGCTGCTTTTTGGCAAAGGGCCCCGCTCCAAGCGGACCAAGCAGCAATGAGACAGTGGAGGGGGATGCAGGAAGGGGAGGGGGGAGGTTATGGTGAACAACGAAAAAAAACACTTACAAGACAGAACGAAGTTCGCGCTTATTACGTGGGGAGATCGGATACTCGTCTCTTCTTGTCACGAAGCGTAAAACGGCACTGTATGCGGCACAGGCTGCCATCGTGTTGATAGTGATGTCCGGGTCAGACCAGATGTTATCTCTATACCACCAAGGTGATGATGATGAGAAATGTTGTGGGGGCCACATGAATCAGACGTGTAACAAGACGTACTTGATGTGCGCTTGGGCAGCGTACTCGGAAGAGGATTGCGGGTAGAAGCGGTCGATAGCCATTTGGTCGTGTGTTTGTTGTTGTATGATAAAGATGCTGGGTAAAAGTTTGCTTTAAGGTTGTCTAAGATGATGTGAGAGGCAGAGAGGGAAGGAGAGAGAGAGGTGCTCGGAAACGCAATCAGAAAAAAGTTGATGCCCAAGATGATTATATATGCACGGGTCGTGAGATTGCGGATTCTATGTGAATTGATTTTCCAAGTCATTTTCTACATTCAATTCATATTCATATATATCTCGTCCCACCTCAATCTTCCTTTTCCAGGGAATCTCGGACATTGTGTTCAAACTGAATTATTTCAAAAAAACGCACGTTTTCCTCTTCTCGGAGTGTTCAATTTTGAACGTGCGGGTTGCCTTCCTATCATTCAAATATTTTAGGCGGCCATTGATAGTGTAAGCGAAAAGAATGATTCGCATCCGATATTGAATTATGATCGGCCGTTTCCAGTCAGCCTTATATGGAATCTTCCTGGGAACTCCGGGCATGAATCAAAACCCCTGCAACACACACGTCACGCAACCCCCGAGCTTCCCGACCAGCCACCGGAGAGTGGCGTTAAAAAAAAAAACCAAAACCCTTAGAGTCATTCGCTTCTTTGTGTATCACAAAACGCGCGGCCGGGAAGCTTTTGTGGCCGCGCGCAGATGCGCGATGCATTCGCGATTCGGATTACATCGCGTGGCAAAGCTCAAGCCACGCGTTTTGTGTATCATATAGAGGCTGGAGTCCACGCGTTACATAGTCACTCCAATTTGATTTTACAGTAAGCTCCACCCCTTGGCACAGCTTACATATACTTATATGAGGGGCGCTTCCTCCATCTGATACGGGTCAAACGTGCGTAGTAATTCATACCATATATACCTGTAATTGTACTTGGAGGATATGCCGTGCGGCGCAACCTCATGGCCCAGTTGTTTTACGCTGTATGTACAATGCGTCAGAGTACAACAGTTTCGGCAAACCCGTTCTCTTTGTATATGGTATAATCCCCCGCTTTGATCACCGTTCCGAACATTATTGTAAAGGTAGCCGTACCACCCCAAAGAGAGAAACTCGGTCGTCATTGGAGTACGTATACGATGCGATCGCAATGGGGTGTTGTGATCGGTTGCCCTATCCCACACCCGGATCATATGAAAAATAGGCCTCCCCCCCGCGCAAAGTTCCCCGGCAAAAAGCCGCTTCATGTTTATCATGTTTAGATGGACAAATCATGTTCCAGGGGTGTAGTTCGCGCGTTGCAGCCGGCTACCGGGGCCCGACACTCGCGCGTACACATTCCACAAAATCAACAAAGGAAAAAACTCCTTTACTGTATATATAGTATCCAAGCAACCTGCGATCGATCCAACCTTGGGAAAGAGAAGGTAGCCAGAAACGGAAAATGGTAAATGCCATCATGCATGACACTCTCAATCTGATCGTTGGCCTGTGTGGTGTTGGGCGGCGTAGCATGAAGAACCCGCCAAGGGAAGAAGCGAGCCCCAGTATTTAATAGGTCAAGGACTCTTGGCATCACGGTCATTTGAATCGGTCATGCCCACGCGATTCAACAACAAGACTTCCACTGCAGATTCGCACTAATTCGGTGAAACAAGAAGGGGGGATTCAGATACGGCGTTTGGTAATTCCAGTCTAGGGGGGGGATATATCACCCAAGGATAAGATGACCGCACTAGGAGTGTCAGATGAGAAGGGTCTCCGACTCGGAGGTCCCCATTTAGTGTTGTTCACACTACTTTATAAGTGAACAGTAGTAAGTACTGCCATTGGGGGATGCAAATAGGAATTCTGGACCTTATCGAGGCGGCGCCGTGAGTGCGGTGGTTGCGCAAAAAAAAAACACGGCCTTTATAGCAATGCAACTTGGTCCATGCATGGCTCAGTCGAGGGGATCATATATTGAGCAACAAGAGGACCGGGTTGTTGCAGATCGTTAGTGTTATCATGATTATCGGTGCGTGTGCAATATGCACTTACCATCTTATGCATTCAATGCGCTGACCAAATCCCCGACTCTTTTCTTCAATAGTAACTGTCGGCCTTCCTTCCGTACATCTATCGAGAGTGAAGTTGTGTGGAGGAGGATGTTCAATCACAAGTTATCGGTGCGATCGATCTATCGTAATCCGGGATGAACACTATATAACCATCTGCATGGCTCAAGTGCGCGAGGATATCGAAAGGGGATCGCGCGACCGTGGCGCTAACCTGACGTTGACTTTCTACTTTAGTAGAGGCTGGGATCCTGCCTACGTTGACTTAGGGGGGGGGGGAGAGAATGATAGAACAACGTCGAATGTTGGATAATAATGCCACGAGTGCCATCCCGATACCGGATCGAATGGACAGTATTATTTATTGATGTGGTTCCGGAGAAGGGCTGGGGGGGGCAGCACGTTCTCGGTTGGAGAGGAGAGGGGTTTATATTGACGTCATGACGACGGTAAGATAAGACTCGAGACAAATATGCGTAAATACATGCCCCTCACAGATCTAGGCGTTGCAAATTTACATGGGCTGCTATAAATAGCGATGGTGGAACTCACGTGGGGATCGCACTTTGTGGCTTGGAGCCCCTCGAGGCCCCCTTGCACATCCTTTAACCTCCTCTCTTCAACGTGTTACAGCCTCTTACCCCCCCAATCGCTATTCGTATTACCCTCCTACAAACCAACTTTTTTTCACACTCATGAACTCGAATCATCCACTACATAGTATGAACGTAGTGCCCGATGTCATAGAACGCCGAATAGCCGTACTTGCTGTTCCGCTAGCCTCTGAGATAGATGCGTTCAAGCATACTAGCATAGCCAAGAGGATCCATGCATGGTATGTCAACGCGTTGGGGGGGTTATACTTACTTCCCTCATCCCTTTTTTCCCAAGGACATGGCAATCCTTCCCTATCGGTATGGGAACCGCTGCCGTCTACGTCTGCCTTTGCAATCTACACCATCAGTCGCATAACGTGCGCGATATCGCTGTCAGTTCTTCATCCGATCTTCCCCTTCTTGTTTTTTTTTTTTTTTTTTTCACTGAAATTTCCCTTCACAAAAGAGGGTGATCTATTATATCACAATCGCAATGTTCCTTTTCAACGTCCTCGCATTATTCTTCCAATTAATTCGTGAGTTTTAACTACTACTACTACTCTACGGGCTTATTTCGCTTGTTTCCTAACCCTTCTCTCGCACCTCATATGTAGTATACCCTGAACACTTCAAGAAGCTGATGTGAGAACGACCCAACCACGACGTCCTAATCTCTTATCTCACATCACACACCGTCCATGACCGCTCTTGTTTGTTTCCACCAACACACAGATTCGATCCTGTGATGGGAGTTTTCGTCCCCATGTTCTGTTTGTCCTTGGGAACTATCGTGATCGGCACGGTGAATTTCGCTGTCCCCGATGGTGTAGTCTCAAGCGAGTTTGCCTACCGTCTATACTGGTACGTCGAACTAGATGTGATATGGTGGTAGTGGTGGTGGTTCTAATGTGAAGTGATTCCCCCCCCCCCCTCCTTTTTATCGTCGTTGAACACCAGGGTCTACATCGCATTGGCTTTAATAGTGACATTTGGAATGACCCTTTTATGGTGTGGCAAAAATTTCCATTTCGCACTTTGACAGTTTTACAAGGAAAAAAAAAAGCCTGTTGTTTGGCCATCATAACTCAAATATATTTCTTTTTGTGGTAGGTTCGATGAAGGACACAAGTTGGCAGAATTCACTCCCGCCGATGCTTTCCTCATCTTTCCGCTAATGGTAAAAATGCTTTCCCCCCCCCCCTACATTGTCGTTATATTGATATAACTGCATTCATAAGCTCGGTGGCCTTATCGGAGCCAACGTGCTTTCAGTCCTAGACCCAAAAGATGAAAGAGCTTTAGGAATCCTGTTCGCCAGTTTATTCTTCCAAGGTTTAGGTTTCTTAATGGCGTACGTGCGCTTTGTAGTTGGGCATTTACCAAGGAGAATTCATCACTAATTTTTTTGTTTTTGTTTTTGTTTTGTGTATAATTCAACAATCCACCCCTCCGGCAGGATGTTTTTCATTGCGCTGTATATTATCAAGATCTTTCTGGACGGTCTTCTATCGGGCGCACGGGCCAATGCCGCATTCGTTGTCTGTGGACCACCGGGATTCACGGCTGCAGCCCTTATCGTCCTTGGCTCACATGCTCGTACTCTGTACGGACCACGTTTCACATATACATACACATATACTTATATACCACTGCTAAAAAAAACTTACAAAACTTTTTGGTTTTTAGTTTGCCAAATTTTGGCTTGATCTCACCGATCGCAGGTGAGGTGTGGTATGCTATCGGCCTGTTCGAAGGGATCATGCTTCTCGGTCTTGCGGTGTTTTTCTTCATCTTTTCGTCGTTGCCATACTGGTTCAAATTGGAGTGCGTAGGAGTATGGGCAAGTGCAATAGTGAACCTTGCCTATACTTTTCTTTCTTTCTTGTTCTTTTTGCTTTGCTCACTGATGCTTCTTAGGAAGGACCTTCATCAAATACTTGGATGTACGTTTTATTGCTCTTTAACTTCGGATTGTATTCAATTTCTTTCTCTCTTTCTACATGAAACGTTGTTCAATGTTTCATAACCGTGATCAGGCTGGGCTCTCACATTCCCCAATGGTGCGTTTTTCATTTTTTCCTTCCAACCATTCACATATATATTCGACCTCTGATTCAATCTCTCCGCTTTTTCAAGTTGGATGGATCACTGCTGTCAAGGTGCTTTTTGTTCACTCCACCATATTATTATGTTGCGCCTCCGCTCTGTATTCTGATAATTATTTTGCGCGGCACCCCCCCAGCTACTCGGGGACCACCTGCATATTCCCGGATTTTATATCGTGCATGATGTTCTGACCACTGCAATGTGTCTCACCTGGGTTGTGTTGGTCGTTTGCACAAGCATCGCATTCATGCGACACGAGATCTTTTTCGAGCAAGATCCACTCCCATCCAAGTGCGTCTTCATATATCCTACATAGTTTTTCTTTTTCCCGAACATGAAGGACTCACGGCCTTTTTGAACGAACGTTCTGGCACGCCGGCCACTAACTAACTCGTTCGCGTCACATTGGCAGGAGCACAGCAGGTGAAGCTTCAGCTTTGAAGGCGCAGCGTTTACTCGTACGAGATGCCACGCAGGAGCAGGAGCAGGAGGAGCAGGAGGAGAATGCGCCTGCTAGCAACGGCAAGGTTGACCTGGTGAAGAAGGAACATGGTAAACGTGGAGTTGAGCCACTCGAAGGGACGCGGCGGAATCAATTTTACGATCTTGAAGCTGGATCGACGGAGACCACAGCTCACGAGAGGGTAACTACCAGTCTCTATCAGAGGACACTCGTCAAGGGGGGCGCCGAACCAGGGGTCAGGGACCTAAAGTAGATTGTTATTGCCACTGGTGGGTAAACTAGTGATCTTTTTTTTTTCGACGATTTTCACACGGTTTTTGACGAAACAACTGACAGAGCTGACAGAGAAAACTAAATTTTGGGCCATATTGCTGCATGTTCTGATACCTTTGCAATTCTCTCTCTTCTCCTTTTTTTACTCAACGCAGCGTTTGACGCTTTACATCAATTTTATGCAGAGGGCAGAGAGTGAGGAGTATATTCGTATTACCTGTGTTTTAAACCGGTCTGAGTACCGTCGTTGTAGAAATTCAAGTCAATTATCGTTTGTGAAAAGCATGCATGCACGCCCGGCAAGATTCGAGCAAGTTAGGCTCCCTCTCTTTTAATCGAAAGAATAAAATAAAATATCATTGTCTATCAAGAAGTTGTGGAGTTCTGATCGGGGCAAGCTATCAATCAGTTAGCTTGAGGATATGCAGTATCCGGGGCAACAACGCCTGCGTGACTTGATTAAGTTTTATCGAAGAGTCAAAAAGGGATCGACGCGTGTGCTTGCGTTAGATGCACAGATTAACGCAAACGGTATCGCTCGGGAGAGGGAAGGAGAAAGGGAGAAAAGAAGGCATAGACAAATAGAGTCGTGTCACCCCGACGCCGAATCGATGGTAATATCAGCACTTTCACAGTGCTAAGCACTATGATAGGCTCACGTAAGGTGCCAAGGTTTGGGAATGGTAGCAATAGACGCGAAGACGCCTTAGCGTCCGGACGTAAGGAGGGTCGGAGTTCCACGAATCTCAGCTCTCGACCAACGTGGGGGATCATCGCAAGTGAGGGGGAATATATATCTGTGTGCGGGATGCGCATTCAGGGCGCTGATTCGAAAGGCATCATGCGCATGCGCGGTCAAATTCACAAGCCCTCTCTATTCAATTGGAGGAGGAACAATAGCCCTCGTTCTGTCGTGTAGCTTGATCAGGCTATAATCAGCGATGGTAGTAGCATCCGGCCGGGCTGAACATGTAACACCGTGCAGTGGCTTAAGGCGAGGATCGACGGGGATCGATGTGGACACCGTCCAAATGCCAATCTGCGCATTCAAGCGGCGCTGCTAAGTTGGTCAGGAGAAGGGGAGGGAAAAAAAAAGAAGCACAGCTGAACAAAGAACGGCCACGGTGCCGTGTATCTAGGCAGGTTACCAGGATAATATATAATACCAGTACGTGCCATTCCCATGCTGGATCGAATGGGCAATTATGGGGGTGCCGAAGTTCCCAGAGAACCGGTTCGAACCAGCTCGGAACTGAATCATAATCGCTTCAGAACCGCCGACCTGAACCGAACCGTGGCACCCCTGGAGACACGTACTCAGTCGCTGACACTGGCAGCAGCCGTCAACATGAGCGATATGCTCATGCGAAGATTGTGTTTCAATGTAGACATTTTCAACCATTAAGAATCCCAAGGAACCAATCCGACATCACCAACCAGCCGTAACGATCCTCTTGGCATGGAGTTGATAAGCGGCACTGCCACGTGCATCACGCCCAAATTAAGTAAACGTTATCCGTCCACCCCTTCCTGTATGGAACGACTATTGGCCTCGAAACATTCTCTATCTATGAACATACCCGATGCCATAGAACAGCGAATGACCGCGCTCGCTGTTCCGCTCGCCTCTGAGATAGATGCTTTTAAGCACACCAGTGTAGCGAAGAGGATTCACGCGTGGTATGCCGATGCCGGAAATTGTGACCCCCCCAAGCTTGAACCACCCCCCTCCCCCTTTTCCAGGACATGGCAATCGTTCCCTATCGGCATGGGAACCGCTGCCGTGTATCTCTGTTTGTGCAATTTACATGTACAACCACAAGGGGTGCGCGACATTGCTGTCAGCTCTTCATTCGCAATCGTTTTTGAGGACTTTCACTGAAATGCGCTGAAGAGGGTGATATATTATACCACAATTGCAATTTTCCTTTTTAATGTCCTCACCCTATTCTTTCAATTACTTCGTGAGCCTTGGCAGCACAGGTCGTTGCACTCTTCCTAACCTTTGCACGTAGTATACCCCAAACACTTCAGGAAGCTGATGTGAGAGCAACTAATGCAGTATCTCACAACAGTCATGACGCTGTCCACATAGATTCGATCCTGTGATGGGAGTTTTCGTCCCCGTATCTTGCATGTCCTTGGGGACCATTGTGATTGGAACGGTGGATTTCGCTGTCCCAGATGGTGCAGTCTCCAACAGATTTGCCTACCGCCTATACTGGTGCGACCAATGGTTCTAGTTCCGAAACAAGGTGGTCTTTTGACGCTCCGTCGTTGACTCAGGGTCTACATCGCATTGGCCCTCATAGTGACATTTGGCATGACGCTCTTATGGTGCAACTATTTCGCATTTTAGGTAGCCTGGCCACGACCCATGATCTCGATTGTAGGTTTGATGAAGGGCACAAGCTGGTAGAATTTACTCCCGCTGATGCGTTCCTCGTCTATCCGCTAATGGTATGTTTTTCACACGTTATTTTTAGTTGTTATTTGACAATTGCATTAGCTTGGTGGTCTTGTCGGAGGCAACGTTCTCTCAGTTATAGACCCAACAGATGAAAAGGCTTTGGGATTCTGTTCGCCAGTTTGTTCTTCCAAGGTTTAGGTTTCCTGATGGCGTACGTGGCATTACCCTAAATCACGCCTACGAGATCTCCCTGGTATTCAACAACCCGCGTAGGATGTTTTTCATTGCGCTGTATATTCTCAAGATCTTTCTGGGTGGTCTTTTATCAAGCGCACAGGCCAATGCGGCATTTATTGCTTGTGGACCCCCGGGATTCACGGCTGCAGCCCTCGTCCTCCTTGGTTCACATGCTCGTACTCTGTATATTTCCTTTCGGGGTATCTCTGAAGACCACGTTCTATGCCGCTAACTTCAACATTGTGGCAGTTTGCCAAACTTCGGCTTAATGTCACCGATTGCAGGTGAAATATGGTATGCTGTCTGCCTGCTTGATGCGATCATGCTTCTCGGTCTAGCAGCATTTTTCTTCGTCTTTTCACTGTTGCCGTACTGGTTCAAATTAAAGTGCGCAGTGTGGTGCATAATGACGCCCATGACCTTTTGCTCACTGCTTCTCAGGAAGGACCTTCATCAAATACTTGGATGTGCGCATTTCCCCTTGGCGTTAGATTGCATTCGACTTCTAATGTTTATATAACGGTCAGGCTGGGCTCTTACATTCCCCAATGGTGCGTTCGTCTATTCACAAGTTCCGACTATAATTCCATTCCCCACTTTCAGTTGGATGGATTACTACAGTCAAGGTGCTTCGTCGCTCCCTCTGCTTCTCTCGGCTCTTATTCTGATATTTACGCACCAGCTGCTTGGGGACCATCTGCATATACCCGGATTTTACATAGTGCATGATGTTCTGACCATTGCAATGTGTCTTACATGGCTCGTGCTGGTCATTTGCACGAGTATTGCCTTCCTACGACACGAGATCTTTTTCGAACAAGATCCACTCCCGTCTAAGTACGTTTTCATATCTTGATTTTGCACAATCATGAAGACCCATGAACGCTCTGGTCACTATCCAGGAAAATGCGACACAGGAGCCCAGAGGGCGAAGCTCTAGCCCTGAAGGCGCAGCGTTTGGGAGATGTGCAAAGGGAGGGTGCACATGCTGGAAGCGGCGAGGCTGGCCAAATGAAAGAGCATGGCAACAGTACTGAGCCACGCGACGGGACTGGGTACAGTCAACATGATCTTGGAGCTGGATCTAGGGAGACCACAGCTGATGGGAGAGGGGCTAGAAGTCCTTATCAGAGGACATTCGTTGGAACCATCAAAGAAGCGCCGAGTCAGGGGTTAGGAATCTAGATTCAGTTCCAACCGTTGGGCGACAGTGATGTGCATCATGATTTTTCAATGAGTTCACGACGAAGTAATTGACGATGAACTAAATTGCGGCAACAGATGTCCCGATACCTTGTAACTGTCAAACTTCTCCTACATTATTCACTTTTTTTTCCTGTCAAGCAGTGGAGACGTGAGCCTTCAGGCTTTCGCAATAGCTCCTTGCACCTTGTTCCTGGTAGTATCTTTCCTTCTGCCCTCTGAGTGCATAGATTGACTTATAGCATAGCAAATAAACTGCCGCCCAGGATTCTATCGTACATATTCTTCGGCGTTGAACAAGCAGAATACGACCTGGATATGGCAGCATCCGAAAGCGGGAGAGGGGGACCCAATAGATTCGTATCGCAGGTGTACAGATGGTAGGGGACAATTGCTATCGGTACGGCTGGTTTGGTGAGTTCGACTTAGGCGCCATCTCTCCCACATTTGTCTACTGACTTGCATACAGTGGAGACATTGACTTTTCTGACCACAAGACTCTCGAACCAAACACCCGCTCCCCCCGCCCTCTCGAACCTGAACCCACCGTTGCACTTACAGATTATGAGTATGATGCCTAAGACAGCCTATGCCTACGAGCCAAACCCAAGTCTTTTGGAACGAAACCATGCATTGGAAATGGCAGTGAATCCCCATTTTGGCATTGCGGCTTTTCATGTCGCCACATTTGAGTTGTGCCTGATCTTCACCTAGGTTTATGGCATGCCATTGCTGAATCAGGCTTGCGCAGATTGACACAGTGTCTCAGATGGTAATTTACATCTTGAGCAACCTGGGGTCGGCTGTGATTGAAGCAATGTGTCTGCAATGTGATCTCCAAGCATGCGCGATGTACAAGCGCAATTCACGGGGCGCGGCTATCCTCGAGGCATTCCTTTCACGGATTCCTTGGGTCACGAACCCATCCTGACTGGTATAAGAAGTCCGAGAGAAAGTACTGCACTCCCCTTCTGCAACCAGCTCTTCCCTTCAGTCCGGGTCGCCAACATGCGATTCTCTATGTGTGTGGCGCTATTTTTCAGCATTCATGCCTTTGCTGCTCCCATGAACAGCACACTCCTCCCTACGTGCGGCAGCCATGTCGAGTCCAGCAAGCTCCAGACTCTGGCAACTGAATTCGCTGGTTTCGAGGAGGCCTATAAGGAAATCCTATCAAAGGGAGCAGGGGACGGTGAACACAAGGAGCGTGGTGATGGTTTCGCTCTGAAGTTCGTTAATGTGTATTGGCACGCCATCACGGCCGGAGGTGCGCATGGTGGCTTCTTCAATTAACACACACTGAGAGGCTCCGCTCCAGGCGCCCAAGCACCCTCCTCTCTCACCATCTATGAACAGATAAACAGGCTGGACGTCGAGTTTGGGGCTGTCGGTTACTATTTCACGCTCGTTCGTATCGATTACATCGCCAATCCTACGTGGTACGACTTGGGTGAAGTCACCGGGTCCGTCTTCTTTTCCGTTTTTCCTTCTCTTTTTTTTTCAACATTCTGCCTCATGCAGGCCGAACGCAGTTGCCATGAAGACCCAGCTTCGAATGGGTGGGGTTCGTGACCTCAATATCTATAGCGTAAACAGTGCAGTCGACGGCACTGAAAACCTTGCTGGATATTCCTCCTTCCCATGGGACTACAATGCAAATCCAAAGCTTGATGGTATTGTTATAATCCTTGACGTGCTCCCCGGAAGCCACGCATCCAACGACTACTACATTTTGGGCCGAACTCTCGTTCACGAAACGGGCCGTACGTATGATTCCTCTGCATAGGGTAAAAGTCGAACTTACAGTTCTACTGGATAGACTGGGTTGGTCTCCTCCACACCTTCGAGGGCGGCTGCACCTTCCCGGACGACTGGGTGACGGATACTCCAGAGGAGGCATCGCCCGCGCTCTATTGCCCCACTGGTCGTGATACTTGCCCTGGTGGAGGCCCTGACCCCATCCATAACTTGTCCGTTGTTTTTCTACCTGAACTAGCTTCAATGAGCATGAACGCTAACTGGCTTGTTTTAGCATGGATTACACGCAGGATACTTGCAGGTGGGAGTTCACTCCTGGGCAAATATGGCGTGCGCGGATCATCACCTGGATCTACCGCGGTATCTGGCCCTTCTAGTAGATCGGCTTTCTCTTGCCGTTTGGCGATTGGAATTTTCTTCCTCTTTAACACTTTATGTTGACACATTGCATTACGATGTACGAAATGTCATCGCTCTGGGGTCGGACGAGTCTCTCCTGTTTAGTGACCAGACTCTTCTTCCTCTTTGCACTTTGCGTTGACACATTACATTATGATGCACGAAATATTAAGGCTGCGGCACAAGGCCACTTGTCCACCAATATTTAGTCCATAATAACTTGATCCTGTTGTTGCGGCAGCCCGACGCCACACAAGGGCAAAGGGGGAGGGGCGCGGCCGCAGGCAAAGCGTTGCCGAGTGGCGAACCCTCCATTGCACAAAGCGTCAGAGGCGCTAGTTTCCTTTTGTTACCGTCTTCGCTATACAGTTAGATAGGCTATAAGTAGGACAAGAATTACTTGAGTGCAATGCTCAAACAACCCTTGACATTGCGCTCTAGCTCAACCTCATGCTCCCGCTCGCCTGAGTCCCCCCTGAGCTGCTTAACAGATCCTGTCCAATGGCTTTGCCTCTTCCGTTGACGGATCATGGCTGCAACCACCTCGACCACGTTGTCGACGACGTATTTCCCAAAATCCTCCTATTCTTTCTTATTCTCGTTGAATTTCTGCCCAACCCATTAGCCTTGGTCCGTACCCAGCATGAATAATTACTAACCTGGACCTCGCCGATGATGAAAAGTGCGCCGCTAGTGGCACTCTTTAGAGGAGGGCACATATCAGCCGCGGCATTGACGGCTGAGAGAATTGGGATGGCCATATCACCACCCGCTGCATTGATCTTTCGCCTGAGACCCTCAGCCTTTTGCCCCAGCGACATGGTCGATGTTGATAAGTGGATGGACACAAGCTGGTATCCTGCCTAAGTGGATGGAGGAGAGAGATCTTTGGGCACTCGACACACGTGGTGAGCTTCTAAGGCCACAAAGATGGTGGTGCTGGATCTGTTTTATTACCCCGCGGCCTCGTTATCACGTGGCAGAGCGGCTATCCCGTTTGGGTACACCGAAGAGTACATGAGGGGATCGTCAATACAAGGTGGGTTACTGGTGTGTAGCGTCGTATAGGTAGTCCTCGGGAGTGGTGTCGTCGGGGTTTTGTGTCTGTTTTGGTGTCAGTATCTAAGTATGATGGGGAAATAATATGCTTCTCTGCTCTATGCCCCCATTCCATCCTGTCTCTCTCCTGCTGAATTCCGTTCCGGATCGGGTCCGTTTGTCCGCCGCGCGGGACACCTTCAGGAATTTCGCCAGTTTGGTGATACCCTTGGGTCGGCCCATGAGTTTTTCGTACGACCACTGTCTCAAGCTACCCACGTTGCCCAGGAGGTGTCTATGTTTCCTGAATGGTGGGCAGGCTGTTAAGATGTGGCGTCTAGTCTCTGTCTCTGCACCGCATTGGCATTCCTTGCTCTCAGCTTGTATTCTGAAGCGGTGGTAGTATTCTCCTATGTGGGCGTGCCCCGTGCGGAACTGGACGCCACAAAGATGCATTCAGTGGCCCGGGCCGCTTATCCGTGGAGGCATTTGATCATCGATCATAAGGATCCACTGTATGAGGACCAGTACCAGGTCCCTCAGAAATGCAAGCAGATTGAGCACCGAACACGAACTCCGTACGAGCTAGCAAGAAACAGAAACCTGAGGAAAGGATTGTGAGGCTTAGCGGCAAGCGCCGGCGGGATCTTACCTTACTCTTCTCATCGTTCGCCGCTGCATGCCATCCGATGTCATTTTGTACAAACGGGGTCATACCCCATTCACTTTCGATCGGACAGATTCTCTCGAAAAGGCTGTAGGACCAGAAGGATCCTACAGGCCCTGTAATTAATCGCAGATACTTCACCGTGATTCGACGCCTTCTTCTTGTTGCATTCATCCTTGGCAACAGTTTAGCCAGTTGAAGGCAACCCGGACCAGACTCCGGAGCATCGATGCACAGTCGCACATGAAACATGCGAGTCCCAAGGAATTAAGGCTCAATGCACGTAGGAACGAAAACTGATCACAGAACAAAATCTCTCTTGGCATGCCCAAGAATAAACAATGCCGGGATCGTCATTCTTTCGCGGGTCCCCAACACCCCACAACATGTGTAAGGGAGCTATCATCGTAGCAGTATTGTTGTTTATGTACAAACTAGCTTGGTCGCATCGTCAGGGCGTTGGGCCGATCCATGTCCATGTTTACGTGGGATCGACTTCCATTCGCCGGACAGGAGGCCACTCGCCAGATTCCTCATCGCAACAGCACAAGACGTAGCACTATACTCTCCGCTTCTGGACAGGTTGACCAGCTGCTTCACCGGGTGTAGGTGCGATGTGTACGTACTCAGCAATCGTATTTTCAAGTCCGTCGACTGCTTGCTGCGCACATCAACAATAATCGCCAAATTAAGACATTTCCAGAGATGCGGATGCGCTCTTGGAACTGGTTGTGCGCGGTGATAGAGGATCAAACTTTGCTGCTATGGTCAGAGAAGCTTTGGGAGTCCTGGCACCGATAGGTTCATTGCCAAATTACCGATTTACTGGGTTTGTCTCAGATTTCTGGTTGACTGACGGCGAAGCCTTTGCACTATCGCAAGCCCTGTGAAACTGTTATAGGGCCGCTTCTTGGGGGTCAGTGAGTCCCTTGACAATTATTCCATCATCGCTGCAACCCCGCGCCATCCCCTCCTTCGCAGCTGGAATGTACCCTGCTGTCCTCAATTCCATGGTGATTATTGCTAGTAGAGTGTTGAGAGACGGCGTAAAAGTACTAATGTTCGCTGTTCGGTCTTTTTCTGCGACACAGTGATAGAGTGGCCTCCCGATTCTACTTCGCCTGAATTCAAACTGCCATTGTTCTATGGAGACTTTCGGTTCGGAAACTAACTTGGAGCGCCGATCGAAAGCATTACTCATACGGCTCTATACAGCTCTAGTCCCTTACGAACTCCCGGGTGATGACGGGACAATCGATTCATGGAGGGCCAGAGCTAACAGACGGGCGGTGAAATTCTGGCATTACTCACAGTCCCATCATTTGAGTTTGCTATTACACCCATGAGAGAGAGCAATTCCGATTTGTTCCCGCCATTAGGTCGAACGAGCCTTCATATTGCGGGCTGAGTGTTGGGAGATGGTGCAGAAGTATTGATGTTTGTTTTTGCTCTTCACAGTCCAATAACAAGTAACAGAGTGGCCTCCCAATTCTACTTTGACCGAATTCAAACTCCCATTTCCCCGTAGGGCTCTCAGCTCGGAAGCCAACTTGGAGTGCCGGCGTTGAACTGATCCGAAGATCGGCATAGGCCTTTAATTTTCAATGGAGTCGGCTCTAGTCCCTGAATACCATTACCAGCTCTCAGAGACGAAACCCATGTCCTCACGTTGAAGCAGTGGGGTATTTATGGGACAATCGATCCAAAGCATTGGAGGGCCGGAGCTAGCAGACGGGGGTGAAATCTTAGCATTGCTCACACAGAGAAAACAATTCCAGATCGCTAAATCTGCTTCCTCCATTCTTTGAATGAGCCTTCGCCGAAGGAGAAGGTATGAACTTTTTTGACGTTTACGCAGTAGTTCACGTAGTGGTAATAGCTTCGAAAGAGACATTCTTCCTCAAGCCCTTTCTTTTCCTTGGCCAACGCATGCTTGACTTTCGACATTCTCGAGTTGCATGCCGCAACAGTAGCAGAATCGGAATATGCCTGAACTTCACCTGGATCGTAGTGGTGGTTGTGATTACTGCCTCGAACACCACTCTACTCGACGGATCCACATAGCTGAAGGCCAAATAGCGATTGGAATTGCTCACGTACCGAGTGTTTGAATGCACTATCCGGTATCATCGTAGATGATATGCATCAAAGTCTTCGGAGCGCTCCGGGGATAAAGGACCTTGCTCCAAAGCCCATCCGATTTTCGCGATGTGGCGTGGGCGAAACTGAGTGCGATTAATTTAGGTTGGGTAAACTCACCCAGGTGTGGAAAATTAGCGCTTGATTAGGTATTGGCTTAGGCGCGAACAACCCAGGGTACTTAATCGGGAGAATAAGTCGGCATTGTGAATATGTTGGTCCAGCCACTGCCATCGATTGATGGACCCTGAAAGTTGCTTACATTAGCGCCGAGTGGCAAATTCGGCCTCACGCTTAACAATCATGCATGGCGTGGCCTTACCCCGGAAGGGATCGCATTATATCAGTATATGGGCAGTCTGAGTGTCAGTGTCGTTTGGGGGTGCGACTACGTAGTCCATTTAGGGGGTGAGTGGCTTTACCGATCAAATAATCGATTGGCTAGTCACCTGCCCTGTGATATTGTTGCTTATCAGGCCGCGCGCGTCTGGGCCTGTATAAAAGCTCAACCTGGTGCCCTGCTCTTACCCGCTCATAGCTTGCGCAAGCGAGCTGCAAGTACCATCGCACCGCTATAAGAACAAGCCTTGTTGATACAGGATCAAGTGCCGCCTCTTCTTGTGATCGATGTCGCCACAACGAAATCCGCAGTCAGGAGAGGATTTACTCCCTCGAATCAAGAATGCATATCGCTTGCTTGCCCTTTTCACCGAACAGGGAAGCAACGGGCTTGTCCATAAAGTCGTCATTCCCCAAGATTCCCTTCGAAACCTGATGAACGTTCTCCGTCCTGGAGCTTTCGAATCGATGACAAAGGTGAGTAATTAGTCTACTTTCGCTACACCATATGACGTGCTCCAAAGATCAATTTCGCTGCGCTTGATGAGGTGCTGCTCAAACCTGTTGGAATTTACGGCAGCAGGTCTCGTATAGTTGAATTCCTCGAAGAAGTTGGCGCTATCGATGCATCTACGTATGTTCAAGTCTAATTTCTGCCTGTTTCTTCATTGGACCTTCCTACATCCTTTCGAGTTATTAGTGCCCGGGAACTTTTGACGCCATTACCTCCCAGCGGGGTTCCTTCAGGCCCTTATCTAAGAACAGGAATATATCTCATCCTTGATGCCCAACGGAGAGAAGATTCTATGGATCCGGGTACAGGCCTAGTGCAACCTTCCTTCGTCCTCTATTGGCCCGAGGAAAATACCTGGGATGACAATGCAACAGGTGACATCTCCAGAAATCGCGCAACTTTCATGCAGTAGGTCCCGGGTTGTCTATGCTATGCTTAAATGGCCACGTTCACGCGGTCTTCCCCAGTTACTTAGGCCGGCTGAGCAATCAGATGGTCGCCCTTCTTTCCAAGGAGCATATGGAAAGTATCGTATGGGATGAAGATACCACCGCCGAAGGGGAGGGTTTCGACTCAGATGAGGAGGGTGATGATCGAGTTTTTGCATTTACCGTCCAGAAAACTGTCGAACAAGAAGAAAACGTGACGGCACATGCTGGATTTAAGGTCTGATACGTATGCATGCTCTGCATGTCACCCTCTTGCTCATTTTTCACTAGATTCCCATCCCATCTGCGTCGTCTCCAACTGCGGACTCATATCTTCAAAGCACTGAAGGACTGGACGAAGTCCGGAAATCGCGAGTGGTGCCAGGCGATACGCGCCAGGCATTATTAGAGACACAGTTTGTTCCTCAACGTAGCTCCCCAAAGATGGTTATTCATGACATCAATCGATTTGCCCTTCGGACAAAGCTCAAGTAGGTTATATGCTCCTTGACTGGAGTTATCTGCTTACTCGAAGATCACTCTCCTAGGGATCCTCTCCAGTCCATCCAACTGGCGGACGAACTTCATCCTGCGGCACTGGAAATTCTCATCGAAAATGGTTTGAATGACCGTTTTAAGTCCCTTTTTGAAGACTTCGAGAAGAGCAGGAAGCGCGAAAGTCGCACACTTGATGAGGAAATTGAATCGCGTTATGCTGTTGCCAAACAACAGCTCGATGATGACTTGCTTCGGCTACAGCATCACATTTCGAATCAGCTCGTGGAGCGTTCAATAGATCTATATCCGTAAGGAGTTCGATTTTGCAACCCTACGGCTGGCACTCACCCCGATCGAGAACAGCGCATTGGAATCGGATCTGGTTTCACTCGTGAAAGACACCACGTATCAAGGTAACGTCCTCTTCTCAGTGCAGTTGCGCATCCAAACATTGACCAACGCCTGACCGCTCCTCTGGCGTTTTATCACAGGCCCGGAAGACGTCATTAGGCACCCGCAGCTGCCCCTACATGATGATGTCTTTGGCCGACTGAGATTTCATTCCATCGTAGCTCACGGCTTCCGACAGCTTAAACGCCGCTTCATAGCCTCGATTGAAGTCCTCAAATCTCGCGCCGCGGTGGACGACCTACCAAAGGTCACCCCAGATGAACTGCAGAAGCTTGACACAGCTATCGTGACAGGGCTCAATTGGGATAAGGCAATAGCCTCCATTCTTAATGGACCGTCCCCGTCCGAGAGCAGTCTATATTCACCAGTGAAGATTTTCAACACTGTTACTTCGAAATTCACGAGCTTTGGATGGTTGAAAGCGCAGAATGAATCTGGTTCGTTTATCAAAGCGCTTATGCGGGAGACAGCTCCAATGAGCGATCCCGTATTCATCCAACGCATCAGCCATGGGGATTATAGTGAACTCCATGATGCCGTGGCCGAAGTCCACAGTCAGGCGTCAAAATGGCTCTTGAGCACCATGGCATCCAAATCTCAGGAGTTAGCTAAATTGGAATCTGAATCATATCACAGACGTTGGAAGTCTGATTTATACACAAAATATAGTCTCAAGTCTCAAGAGCAAAAAGCTGAGCATTTGTTGCAACTTAGGGCTCTACTGAACGATGCGAGCAAAAACGAGGGCGTAAAGTGCGTGTTTTCGCCCTTGCTTTGAAGTCACTAATGCGTCCTTGCAGAAGTCGCCTGCTACGGATCCACGATATCGTTCCTGATCGTAGTTACTATGGATACAACAGTGCGTGGACGAGTCATTCGGACTCTGATTCATTGACTGAGCCCGTGCCTTTCTTTTCTTGGCTTCAAGATTTCAAATTTGCTGTCACAGAGTTGAAAGATGAACCTGCCCACTTTGTGTGCACGTTACACCCACTTGGAGTAATGTCCGATGATCTCCAACGTCTTACTGTGGATACTTCGTTTGTACCGCGCCCCATTTTCCGCACCGGGGCCCACTCCGTCCGCTTCACAATACCAGCTACTTCGAGATTACGGTTGGTGCAGAAATCGGGCTTTTTCTTTTTCCATGTACTGACTTCGCTTCAGGTACATTCAGCTTTTGGAACGTTCAAAATGTCTCGTAGTCGTGGAGGACTCGTCATCCGGCAGGATCTGTATCTATCTCGATGAGGACGTTCAAATGCCCGACATGTTGCATTCTCGAAGGACTAAGAAGGAGTTTACCTTTGAACGAATGGGAAAGGATTTCTTGTTTTGTGTCAATGAACCAAGAAGATTGGTGGCATTGTTGGATGTGGGTTATCGATACTGCGTCTCGACTATACTGAATGCTGATCTGAACTGACAGGCCAAGTGCCGTCTCCACGTGTTTTCAATCGACGAATCATATACGAGCATCAATTTACGTGGCTCTCCGGTTGACCTTGGACGATTATTGATGGGCTCCGATGCTGAGGCCAAATTTTTGAAGATGTGCTTCATAAACGGTTTAGATGAAATCCTCTTCCTCGAGAACTCGGGACATCTTAGGATATACTCTCTGGTGCAAGAGCAATTCAAGTAGTCCCTCCTATGATTCATTCCGATTGGTTCACTAATTGATTTTCAACAGGCCAGCGTTTGTGAAATTGGAACCACCTCCAACAGACGTGTATTCCAGTCCGGATGGCTCGTGTGTCTTCATTACGGTACCAAATAGTTCGGGCGCAGTGGAGACGATAGCTTATCACACGGCATCATTTGGCGGAAAATCCCAAGGCATCCCGCTTCAACTCCCTCAGGTCTTTACGTCGGTTCCGACGACCATCACATCATTTGTTACACGAAGGAACGCTTACCTGATGGCTATCGAGGATGACACAGGACAGCTCAGTGCAGTTCGTTTCGAGATCACAAATAAGGCTAGCGAGTTCACTTTCCGTCCTCATGGGAAAGCCAAAGGGGATTCAAAAAAAGAGTCAACGTACAATTCACTCATTGATTGCCATTCCGAAGTTTGGACCAAGTTCCCCGTTGTGTCTACGATAAGCAGAAGTCCTTCATTCATGGCTTGGCGCTCGCCTTCTATCACCTTCACTGCAGCGAATAATTCGATTCCCATCGCTCGTCTACGATCTCACTTTTCACGAATGATCCAATCATTTGAGCATAGAACGCGAAAGCCAACGGATGGCAGACTGGCTGCTATTGACATTCAGTACAGTACAAGCCTGTCTTTGCGCGAGTCTATTCCTTCGGAAGTCACTACATACTTCACTGGAAAGTGGATTGTTGATCTCATATGCTTGATACCGATTCACATCGCCGTTGCCACTTCCAACCGTTTCACGCCACTCGAGGATGGTGTTTCATCCCCCGAGTTTGAGCAGCGATTACTAGGTGCTGATATATTAACGATTGCAGACAGGTCCGTTTCTTTGCGATTATGTGGCGCTTGTCTCACATGTTCGTTGCAGTATATCTATCGGATGGTATGAGAGTATATTTAAGACCTACATGGCTTCGAAGGCATGTGCCCGAGTCTTCCTCACACATCAACCGACATTCATCTGACCGCTACATCGTCAGCCGGTCAAAGTCGTCTCTTCTATGGGTATGACCTACTATCCTTCGCTGACGGACACCCCCGATGATATCTCCATCATAGGCGAGCAATCCGTAGGGAAGAGTTACGCTCTAAATCACTTTGTGGATACGTCGTTCGCTGGATCCGCAATGAGGTGCACCGAGGGCGTGTGGTTGTCCGTAACGCCAACCGACACAAATTTGATTGTGAGCCTTGATTTTGAAGGTGCGTCTGTGCAAGGACCTCAGTTCAAAAAATGATACCGTTCTTAATGAGCCACCCATAGGAATACATTCTATCGAAAGGACTTCGCAGGAGGACATGTTATTGGTTTTATTCAACGTGGCGCTTTCCAATTTGGTGACCAGTCTTCTTTCAATTCTGTCTCGGGATGTGCTACTTAATGTTATTCTTAAGGTATTATTCCGGAATAATTTTGCTCTCTCACGGGACGTTACTGGTGTGTCGATTCACATATATTGTTAACTACAAATAACAGAGCAATGCCGCCGCGCGCTCAGAACTATTCACGGTATGAATGCCGGCACGTCTCTCCAGTTCTATCTGCTCAACTGCCTCCAGAGTTTTCAATCGTCGGCCGCACAATTCGAGCCATCAGCAAATCCAGAACTATTCCAATCGACTTTGGCAATTATAATCAAAGTAAACCTTTCGCCCATCACGTCGTCTCGTTCTCACACGCCCTTGTCAGGATGTTGTTGATTCCGATACGAGAGAGATCGTCCGGGAGTGAGTAATTTTTGGTGTACTCGGAGCCCGGTTCTAATAAGTGACTTTCCAAACGGGAAAATAAGATTCCAGCTGAAGTTCCAGAAAATAGTTCAGGAGGAAAAGGAAGGGAATTTTATTTCTAGGTTGCACCGTGGCAGGCTCGATATTCTTCCATGGCCTGTTATCCAGTCTCCCAAGTTTTACACTTTGATGAACAAGCTGAAGAAACGGCTAGATGCTCAGGATTCATCTCATGGCACCGCGTCCGTATTTTTGGAACGGATGAAGATCCTAATGGCAAAATTAAGGGTTAGTAGTCGTAACCCTGCTCCTGAAGTCAGTTTCGTTGAAAGTTCAACTTTTTAGGCGAGCGATTGGGGTGCCCTTGATCGTATGTCCCTTCTGGACAAATGATAATTCTCCGCCTGACCGAGGTTTTTAGATGCCCTTGCGTCACATCGAGCACAACTCCTCCAAAACCTCCTGCCCACTGCCCTCGCTTACGGTGTCACGGAGTATGGAAACGAAGACACCTATCTCAAGGTCGGGAGAATCAGAACATAGTGCCTCATATCACTGAACTAGACCGACAGAATTTGGATACGGATGAAGCAGTTCAACCTGAAACTCCCTCTGGAAATCATTTTTTCCTTGAATCGGTCATGAAGGAACCCAAGATAAGAGATGAGCTCTTGGCCAAGGCGCAGCAACAGTGCATCGCCATGATCCCCGGCACACGTCAGAACATTCCAGATTCAGAATGGCTGTTGCCGCTTGCGACGGCCTTGCACCAACAAGCGAAGCAGCGAATTGAGTACGTCCAGAGATGGATTGACTCAAATACAATCAGATTCCCCCCCGAACAGACAGACATTCAGTTGCTCCGTCGCTATTTCGGTCAACTTTCACTTGAACTCATTGCGGGCATCGATATGTGCGGAGTCAAATGCAAAAACTGCAACCTCAAGTGCATCCTATCCAAGTACCACCTGAGCGACCACAATTGCACCACTGACCACTGCTGTGCCTTGAAGTGTGATGAATGCGCCTCCGAGTCCCAGGACTCGGAGAAAATGTGTAGCATGATGTGAGTCGACACAGCCCTCCGATCCTGTTCTTTCCTAATTATTATTGATAGAGCTGGCCACGATGGCAATCATATGTGCGTACTTCAATTATCCCATTATATGGCAGAGTGGCTGACTAGCGTAAAGATGTGACCTGACCCAGCATGTATGCGGCGAACCCTGCTACCTGCAGGACAGGAGAGGTTGTCAACAAGCTTGTACAAAAGCAAGTGTTGCTGCATAATCTGACGCCAGAAATTAATTATATATCATCGTCATTAGCAAATTGGGCACCAGGATGCCGTCCACCTGTGCTCTGCGCGCACCCACTCCTGCGGTGAACCCTGTCATCTCAGTTTGATCAAGCAAGATGGTGCACCTTTATGTTCGAAGCCTTGTGCAATTGATTGGTGTGGAACTGCATGAGCCATGATATCTATCACATTGCTGACGACCTTGCAGCCGCGATTCCCACGATTCCCACGAGTGCGAAAACAGGCTAACATGCCCAGCTAAATGTCAACTATGCAGTCGATTGTGCTCGATTACGTCACATTCTCACCCACTTCAAAACGGGGCAATCCACCTCTGCGGGTTTGTTGATCCTGCCTGAAATCATGATTATCGACTGATTGTCGTATCAAGGCAAGATCATGATTGCAGAGCGCTTTGTGGGTCACAGGGAATATGCGAAATAGCATCTGCTCCCCTCTCTATCGAGACTACATTCGTCGGTCGCAACGAGACCTTCCAATATACTAAGGTGTGTGCTCGAATAGACTGCGTCTTATTCTGGTTCCCAACGATTTTTGTAGTACACCCAAGATGCACACAAGCTTTTGTGTGCCGTTCGTATCCCTCCAAACAAATTGAAACATGATGAAGCGCATACACATACAACCAGTGCAGCTGCGTTTCACTATTGCGAGACACGCTGTCCCTCTTGCCTTTATTTTTGTACCCTTGCTATTGGTATGGTCTGAGATTGGATTCAGTGAGGATTCCGGCTGACTCTCAGCATTCGAAGATCATCATGGGTTGCACAATACTACCCATGGTAATATGGAACAGACTTCCTGGAGTTTTGAGGGAGATGATTCTACCACTCGAGAGGTTGCCGGTCGGAAGTTTAGCACAGGTGACTCGGGTGCGCCGATGTACTGCAACATGTTTTGCAAAGAGCTAGGCCGGCACGCACACATTGACTTCTGCCGAGCTCCCAGAAACAGTCCTTGTGCTGACGATACAGTGGAGCACATTACTCCAAGAATGAATCCGGAACCTAACAGGGATAAGGACTGGATTACACATGCTTCCTATTGGGCGCGAACAGGTATCTGATGAACTAGTCTTTCAGACAACATTCACTTCTGAGCATCAACGCGATTTTATAGGTTTCCGAGGTGACTACCATGAATTAGTGTGGGAGAATCCCAACCTCTGATGAAACCCGTAGATCCTTATTCTCAGGATCTCCAAGTTGATTTCTCCAAGTGGTATGTCGATATTCGCCACTTGAGTCATGATCTCACCTTTGCCTTAGTGATTCCGAATGCAATGGTTTGTTCGCAAATCGCAGTCGGCGAATGGAGGAAACGCAGCTTACCTCATCGCATACGCAGGTGACGAACATAAGGCCACAGAGAATATGAAGGCACAGCGTTCTTTTTGTACCCTCCCTATGTTCCACAAACCCGCTTCTCCAAGTGCTCGGAATACTACGGGGTATACCTCTGGGGACGGACACTCCTTCGATTGCCAGAACCCGGGACTTCATCATGCTGCCTACCATGTGTACGAGAATCCCCACCGCAGCAGTATTATCTCCGTATTTATATAAGCTGACTAAGCCCCATCGTCAGGATATTCGTGTTAGACCGTTCGTCATCCATGGCTGAGCGGGATCGGGTCCCACTTGCTGGACAGGCAGCGACTCGTCAGATTATTCATTACAACAATAACAGATATGGTGCTGTGCTGTCCGCAGTTTACAGCTTTTGGACGGCTCGTGCAGGTGCCTCACCAGGGGGCATACGGCGCGATACGTACTCTGTAGTCGTGTTCAGAGAAACTGCTGCTGTAGGTCTCGCCAGACTGTTTTTTCCTACCCGATCGTACTAGAGATCTGTACACAGACAATAATTACCAACGATCTCACCCGAGATGCTGACGCGCTTCTGTCGCCCCTCCTGCATGTGGGCCCTGCTGGGGGAACAAACTTTTCTGTTGCAATCAGAGAAGCTCAAGGAGTTATGGAACGTAATTGGAATGCGGACAGGTTCGTTAGTGTGTACCATCAATTGTTGATTAATTTTCAATTTCATGTCAGGATCCCATGTGTTATCTTCCTGTCTGATGGCGAAGCCCTTACACCGTCGCAGGAGCTACGTGCGATCTGTGACAGGGCCGTTTCTTTGGGGTCAGCACAACGTAACTTTGGACCTCCCGCCAATTATTTAGCCTCCGTTACAGTCGGCCCCTGTCGTTCTTCACCGTTTCCTTTGCAGCTGGATCCTACTCTCCTGTTCTCGATTCTATGACGACTCTTGCGACAGATATCTACAGAAGAGCATCACCAGGAGCATCTCGCAATATCCCATGCGGGTCATATTACGCTATTGATTCGGTGCGTAGCATATCGTGTTGAATGGTACAAAATTGACCAACTTGTGTAGATACAACTAGCACAAACATTCCTCGGCATTGCTGATTCCATGCGCCAGACTCGGGGAGCACTTGTGCGACAATAAATCCTCCCATTCTCACTAAGAAAAAGTTGTCTTAAATTCAGGGGCCTTGAATTGATCGAGTCAAACACGTCATGTATATTTACGCCTACCCAGCTTCAACTCCAGAGAATAGCACTTACCTACCTTTAAACTCCCGTGCGCATCACGCTGCGAACGGTTCATCGCGTTTAATGGATCATTACCCATCGCGTATGTGTTTGTGACAATCTTCATCGAGTGATGCTCGCGGATTTGTGAAAGTTCAGTACCAGCGCTGGCCGCAGGCACATGCCTCGGCAAGGGGATTAAAGATAGTTTGTCAGCTGTGGAAGCGGGATTGAGGACCGAAGCTTACATAACCGAATGCGTGGAGGGTGAACGTTGATTGATTTACATAGTTTTCTTTCGAGCCTTAACAGAACGCCAGTGACATGCCTTGATAATGGCACAAGATTACATGTAACTTCTCTCCCGCAGCTGACAACTGGTTGTATAACGGTACATGTTACTCCGACTGAGACCGAGGTTGACTGGCATATTGGCGCGATGATATGCAACTAAGAATGCATGAAGATGAGCGCCACCAGAGTGTGTTTGGGATACTGAAACGGATTTACATGTGCTTTAGCGTCATCATCCAGTGTCCACCCTTTCGGAACGAGACGTCCATCTTCAGAGCTGCGTATCAAGAATGCCTGATCTAGGATCTTCAGCACCTCAGGTACGGAAGCCAAGAGAGGATACAGAAGTCTTCGAGGCTTAGTAGCACGTCATGAAAAATGCGGGTGCCAGGGAATGTCCCAAATTCAAACTGGCATCACGAATGAATTCAGGCTCAATACACCCTCCGTTCCTCACCAGCACAGGAACGAAAACTCATCGCAGAACAAATTCCTCTTGGCATACCTGAACACCGGCGACAATTGGGTTGTGTTCGCGCGTAAAAATCATAAATGTGCCAAGGATACGCCAAGAGTGTGAGTTGAATGAATTACACTCGGCCGGTCCCTCATTGAAAGGACACGAACTGATCGCGGGACGAAACCCTTCGATAGCACTCCTATTTATGGTGACTCGGAGCTAATCCTCGTAAACCCATTTCCGTGCTTGTGTGCGTGGGACTGATGCTGGTAGATAATCGTGCCGCCAGGGCAGGACGTGTGAGTAGTATACTAGGTCCCTGCGGGTGCGCCCCGACCCCCATTACCAAGATGTGAGGTCGTCGTGTCAGAGGCTGGGATCCTTAACTTGAAGGTCATCGCTCCTTGGCAATACTCATGAACCCGACTCACGCATCCAATCTATCCATTGGATACACTCATTTGATCCCCATCACCCACCTCCCTGCTCCTTCCTGCATCTCCGTATTTATCCAACTCTTCTACTGAAGCTATCGATGCTAATGAACCATTCCACCCGTCCATCAATTCTTCTTCTCTTTGCCATCCAAATCTAGCACGGATTCCTTAGGGCTTTTGTTTCTGCTTGGAGTTTCCATTTCCAAATGGGTGGAATGCGGAAGATATGGTGAAAGGCATCATGAAGATAAAGTTCAGGACACGGTCTTTGACTGTTTCGTGAGCTTTCTTCCTTTTCCCTCACCGTTATGTGTACATGTCGTGATCCCCTTCATGCCTGACCTACGACATGCAAAATAACGATAACTAATCTCCGGGAAGCTTGCTTGACATAGCCCGCCAGCACTCACAGCATACAGAATGGACTCGCTGCATCGAATCCGTGGCTTTCATCGATTTTTATGTACTATTATTGGACTAAAGCCAGCGGACTAGGAGATGATCTTATGGGCTGGAAGGGTGTAAAGAAGGGCCGTGCTATGCAATAGACACAAATGGGTTCGGACCACGTAATAGGCAGCATGCTTTGACCTAATTCGACCTATGCTAGTAATGTCACTGTTCTGCCCCTGCCCAGGGCCCAAGGTATAAACTAGTTCATCGTCCCCCACACTCACATATGTATTGCCACACTAACCCGCTGATTTCGTCTTTCAATTCGTGCCTACAAAGTTGGCTAAACAGCCAATAAACATTTCATCAAGAGTTTCGAAGTAAAAACGGACGTTAAATGAGGGAAAGAGGAAGGTCCCGGTCTCAAATCGTTCAAATTAGTGCCTCAGAATCACGTCCGAGGTTAGAAACTGCGATATGTAGTTCGTTGAGTGACATATCCAAATTTGAGGTGTGTAATCCCGGGTTAATGGCAACCAGCTCACGGTAGAGTTTGACGCTTTCCTCAATGAATGGGAGCGCTTCGGAGTGCCGTCCGAGATTCGAAAGAGCATTATATAGATTGTCGAGGGACCAAGCCAAACCTGGAGTGTGTAATCCTGGGTTAACGACAACCAGCTCACGGTAGAGTTTGACGCTTTCCTCAATGAACGGGAGCGCCTCGGAGTGCCGTCCGAGATTTGAAAAAGCATCATATAGATTGTTGAGTGGCAAAGCCAAATCTAGGGTGTATAATCCTGGGTTAACGGCAACCAGCTCACGGTAGAGTTTGATGCTTTCCTCGATGAATGGGAGCGCTTTGGAGTGCTGTTTGAGATTCGAAAGAGCATGATATAGATTGACGAGTGACCGAGCCAAACCTGGGGTGTGTAATCCTGGGTTAACGGCAACCAGCTCGCGCCCGAGTTTGACGCTTTCCTCGATGAATGGGAGCGCCGCCGAGTACTGTCTGAGATCCGAAAGAGAGGCATATAGGTTGTTGAGTGACAAAGCCAAATCTGGGGTGTATGATTCCGGGTGAACAGCAACGAGCTGGCGGTAGATTTTGACGCTTTCCTCGATGAATGGGAGCGCCTCTGAGTGCCGTCCAAGATTGGAAAGAGCATGACATAGGCTCTCGAGTGACCAGGCCAAATCTTGATTGTATGTCCCTGGATGAATGGCAACTAGCTCACGCCCGAGCTTGACACTTTCCTTGATGAATGGGAGCGCCTCCGAGTGCTGTCCAAGTTTAAAAAGAGCTAAATATAATGTTCCGAGTGACCTGGCCAATTCCAGGGTGTAGGACTCCGAGTCCACGGAAACAAGGTAACGGCAGAGTACAACTGAATCCTTTGCTGCCTCATATGCCTCATGGAATCTTGAAAAAAATCCCAAATTTGACGGAAGCCAGATAAGCACATTGGCTAGCATGAAGATAGCATCTTTTGACCTTTGGTCAACTGCCAACTGAGAAAACGTGAGCTAATTTCATTAACACAATTGATAGTCCACACCTTAGCCCACTCAGGGAGTATTGAAATACTGACGTAGCCTTCCGTCCTCACGCAGACTTCAACCCAGCGAGTGGCTTGCTGACTTAGAAATATGCAAACTGATTTATCGAGCTCCTGCGACCGTTCCTGGACTCCACTGAGGTGATGAACAATGTAACGACATGCATAATGCAAGTGCTCGGATAACTTCTCTGGAGGGATGCGCGGCAGTTCATCTTCTCTGTCCAAGTCCTCAATCAGTCCTAGGCCTTCTGAAGAGGAGAGATCCTCATTCAGAATTTTGGCACATCGCAGGGCAATTCTAGCATTCTCCCGCTTCACATCTACTGGACTGCAATGAAGGCCGATTGATTGAGGATCGATCCGATCTAGAATAAAGTCGCGAAAAGATTGGTGTAGGATGCGAATTGGGACATGAGAATCCTCAAGTCCTGAGAGGAGAGGTGCAAGTTCGGCCAATGTACATCGAACCGATGACTTCAAGAAAGGTGACAAAATGGCATCCCAAGATGGGACACACAGAGGCTGTTGTGCAACAAAGATAGCTCCTATCACAACTGGATAGTCATGCGCAAAATCTTCATCCTCCCAGCTGCACTTCTTCAAGATACTTGTATACAATCGATCCATCATTCCCTCAGCAGAAACCGTCGATCCTTTCGTGCCTGTGCCGAGAAGTCCCTCCAGTATCCTCATAGGGTCCTTGCTAGCCTTCCTCATGTAGCGAAAGATGGTGCTGATCCAAATAAACAGGCCGCCTGCTCGTTCCAAGATCCCCTCTACTGCTTTCTCTTCGTTCTCAAGTTTATGCCGTATATCAGGATGCCAATTCTTCAGCGTTTGCAGCTGGGAACGTATAAACGTGGCACAGTCCTGCACGTTTGCATCATCTGAGAGATCTATGGTAAGACGATCGATATCGAAATGGGATGAGAAGAAGCGATTGACACGATCGAATTGTCTTGATGTGATAAAGAACTTTATGGAGGATGGTAATTTAGGCACTTCTTCCCGAAGAATATTTGCAAGGGGCTCAAAGGCTTCTTCGTCACATTCATCTAAAGCGTCGATGATGACCACCATTGGACGGTCGGAGAGTGGAGGCTTATGCAGGAGGGGTGGAGCCACCAATCTCGTGAATTGCATCGCGAACGGTGCTGTTGAGAGTGTAGGATCATCCTGAAGAGTAGAAATAATGGAGGAGCGATAGACCTGATCGCGCTTTGCTAAGGCTCGAGCCATCCCGCTGAACAGACAATCAGGCTGCGACTGTTCGCCCGCTTTGAAAAAGAAGCCTAGCAATAGGGCATGCTCCTTTGTGCATCGTTCAGCAATTGTGTGGGCAATCGAGGTCTTGCCAGCACCGGCCACAGCAGTGAGTAACATGACACGGTTCCCGCTTTCCCTAGTGTTGTGACACCAGGCCATGATACGCTCCGTAAGATCGACCCTAGTGCCTTCTAGGCATGCCTGAGTCGAGTCATGGTGGGCGACATCAGGGTATCGGAGTCTACCAAGAATCAAGTCATCTTCGATGGCGGACATTTTCACTCCAATCGTTAAATTCGTTCTAAGCTGCATCAGAAAAAAATCAGAGGGGTTATGGAACGATATTGTGAAGAAAATTACCTGAAACGACGCCAATGCTTTGTCAAAATCCTTCTTTAGGGAATCAATCCTTCCTGGATCTCTCAAGTGGGACAATGCATTGATTAAAGCCCAGCGTTTCTCTATTTTTGTGCGTCTTTGTTCGATTTCGGACTTGATCTTCTGTAGCGCACTGGGACTTGATGTGAACACGAAAACAGTCAAAAATAAATAAACCTACCGATCAAGCTTTGCAGCGCTCTCTACCCATGGCTTTGCCTCTTCCGTTGACGGATCATAGGACTTGATAGCTGCAACTACCTCGGCCACGTTGTCCACGACGTATTTCCCAAAGTCCTCCCATTCCTTCTTATTCTCCTTGAACCTCTGTCCATCCCAAACCATTAGCCTTTGTTCGCGAACCCAGCATAAATAATTACCAACTTGGACCTCGCTGATGATGGAGAGTGCGCCGCCAGTCGCGCTCTTTAGGGGAGGACACATATCAGCCGCAGCGTTGACGGCTGTGAGAATTGGTAACGTCATATCACCTCCCACTGCAAGGATATCATCGATCTTTCGCCTGAGACCTTCAGCCTTTTGTCGCAGTGGCATGGTCGGTGGATGGAAGAGAGAGATCCCAACACACGTGGCGAGTTTCCAAATGCTCAAGGCCCCGATGCATTTATAGTAATGAGTGCCCAAATTGAGGAAATTTGTATCCGGTGCGACTACTGGACTTATCCGGAGCTCCAAATTCTTATGACGTAAACCAGCGTGACTGGACAAATGACATAAAATGGACAAGCCTGGTATCGAACCCAGGACTTCTAGCGTGCATCCATACACTACTCGCCCGTTATGCCAGGGGGGGTACCCCTTCCCTGATGGTTTGGGAGATCACTTGATCCCTTCCTCCAACACAAATAATATCGGGGCCGCCTATCTGTTCATGACGATCAAGTGTATGAGAACCGGTATCATGCCCTCAGAAATGCAAGGTGATGAGCACCGAATACGAACTCCGTACGAGCCAGCAAGATGCCACAGTCGCTCTGCATTAGCGGCAAGCGCCGGCGAGATCTTCATTGCTGCATGCCATCAGCTGTCAGATCAAGTGCAAAAGGCCCGCCGTCCTTCGATTTAACGAAGTCGTTCTCTGCCCTCGACTTTTCATTAAGCGCCTGTTTTTGGACTAAACACACACTGCAGACGTTCCGTAATCGTCTCCCCGATGTCGATGTCTCGTTCCGCTCTTGGGCTGTTATATATTCCAGTGTCGATCAGGGTGCTTCTAACACAGATCTACTTGGTTGCTGCTCTGTGGCTGGGCATTGGTCACCACTGGACGTTTAGCAACCAGTGAATACAATTGCACCTACAGTACTTCAAGTTCGACCCCTTCCGCCCCCCCACCTCCGTTTATGATGTGTGTTCCTTCGTGGGCACAACGATGGGATGCGGTGCGGTTGTGGAATGTGCATTCGCACCACATATGGGCGCTTACTTGTATTATATAAATGTTACTGTCATCACTCTGCACCCGCTCAAGATGCCGGCAAAGCTCAACTAAATGGCTTCGTAGTCGCCGCAATTCCTAGCTCCACACAAAGTCCTCGGGATTGTACGACTTGATGGACAGGCCAAGCGCCACCTCGATACAATGATACAATGATGTAGGTTGAGCCACTGGCATGCCTGTGAATGGGCATGCCACTAGTCGTGTTGGTCAAGTTGTGCGCGTCTGTCTGAGCATGTATAAAAGATAACCAAGCCAGCGCCATACCATTGCTCTCTCATAACGTCTCCAAGCACTATTGCTCCGCGATAAGAACAAATCTCTTGATGCAAGGCCAAGTGCCGGCTCTTCTCGTGGTCTGCTTTGATCGATATTGCCGCAGGCCAATCCGCAGTCAGGGGAGGACTTACCCCCTGGAGTCCAGAATGTGTTATCACTTGCGAGCGCATTTCACCGAACGGGGAAGAGTGATTTTCACGCAAGATGTCAGGTCAAGTCCCAAGATCTTAGAGCCCGAATAAGCGATAAACGATGCAAAGAGGATGAAGGGTATGAAGTACGTGTTTATCTCTTATTCCCGCTGTGGGTCTTTGCAGAAGTCACCAACTATGCATCCATAATATCGTTCCTAGCAGTGTATTCGGTGTATTTGACATTCCACCATTGACCGTCAAAGACACGGAACACAATGATTTGGCGAATTCTGTTTTTATTTCGGAGCTCTGATGTGCAGAAAAAAAGGACGGATCAACGGCGGAGCTGATGTTGAAGACGAGTAAAGGAGATTGTCGCAGGAGGGCCATCGGTTGTCTCAAAACGCATCGGCGAGCATCCCATTTCAGACCTTGAGCTTTGGACCGAGAATAAGGAGGGAGTATGGAGAAGCGGCATCGATCACGAAATAGGGCGAGGAAGGAGGAATCGTGTTAGGCTGAATGATCTAGCAGTGCGCTTGCATGTTCCGAACACCTTTGACACCATTGGGCAAGATGGCTTTTTTCGACACCGCAAGGACCACAGAACCCGAACCAGAACCAGAGGGGCAGGTCCATTAGAGATCCGGATAAACACAAGCACTCACGTTATCTACATCATCCCAACCATGAAGCAAGTAAACCGACAGCAAAAAGCAATCCGCAGAAAAGAATCAACCTCTTTTGTACCTTTCCCGCCTATAAGCACCAGAAAGACAACCTCCGACGTCTTTGTCTTTGGTTCCTATTAGAATACTACTAGCGTAGTACTACGCTAGGATATGAGTCAAGACAGGGGAAATTAGTCTAGTACGTGAACTGAAGGGAGACGTAAGCGTCAAAGGTTTGCTGGTACGCTGAATGGTGCACTGGTAGCAAGAGGACTAAGGAAAGATGACGCTGCAGGCTCAACAATGAGAGTTGGCCACAGCATACGTCGATGTCCAAGAAACCAAACAGGAAGAACACTTAATGGTCCCAGTGATCGAGGTGCCAGGAGGAACTTTGTATGATAATGCACGATTGAAATCAAGGCTAGGAAGCTGAGTTACAAGATCGGAAGGTGCGTACATATCACTGCGATTTCTCCACTCCACCTGGTTCACTTGTCCTCGGCAATAATTCAGCCAGTCGAATGCAATCCAGATTGTATTCGCGCGTGAAAGTCATAAATGCGGCGAGTTGAATTCGGGAATTCTCCGTCCCTCATAAGGACCTGTCTGATCGCGGGACGAAATAGGCAGGACTCCAGCCTCTATGACAAACAAACAATATATAGAGGTACGAAACCCTCTTGGCGCCCCAGCGATAGCACACCCATTTTATGGCCGTGACTCGGAGCTTATTCTTGTAAACCCATTTCCAGGCTTGTGTGCGCGGAACATATGCGACTGATACTGAGCATTGGCCAGATAGAACATCGTACGGCCGGGGCTGGACTTGTGAGTAGTGTAGGTCCCTGTGAGTACGCCTCCACCTCCTTCACCGAACCTCCCATTATCGCACCGTTGAGATTGTCCGAAAAGTTGCAGATCCGTTGCATCACGTGACTGTAGTTGCAACGCGTTGCAACACATTTCAATGAGATACAACACTGAAGTGTTGCATTGCATCACTGCAACCTGTTGTTGTAATATGGCATCCTAAATATGGCAAACTGCTTCAGCCATTCACTCGCAGTCCAGAAGTAATATAACTAATGATTATGGGTCAATTTGTCCATGGTATATATATAATATATATAAAGAAATGAATTAAAAGCTTCTAAGTGCAGGGAAAGGGGGGAGATGATTCATGAGAGTTTATAGGTAGTAGAACAGGTGGTGGCACATGTGGTGTAATGAGTAGTTCCAGAGTCAGGTTTTTGGTTGATTATTGATTGAATAAAACTCATTATTGGCATTGTTGAAATTCTTGGACTTATTTTTTTTAACTCCCACATTAAAATGCAATGGGAAGTTACCACCACTTGGCAACCACATCACCATGTCAAACTCAAGCCACATCTTGGATTGGTCAGATGGTCATCTGGGGGAGGACTCCAGGGCACACATTAGCCAGCTACTGCCATATCCTGGAATCCCAACCTGTCAAAAACCCGGATCGTATGGGGTAAATGCGTGAGTCCAAATGCAGGCGGGGCTCAACTAGAGGGGGATCCGAGAACTCCGGTGGTGGACCGAAGCTTCTCCAGGAAGCCCGGTTCTGCTGGATGGTACAAGAGGCTCTAAGAAGGATGCGGCCTCAGCGACTCGGAGGGAGCGCTGTGCCTCCGTTACGTCTCAGTTAGTCCTTGTATTTCTTATGTCTGAGGTATTTTGTAGAACGGAACGGGATTCACTCAGAGGGACTTTGGGTAGCATTTTAGTCGAGATTAGAACTGAGGAACTACAGGTTCTAATCTACGGGTATTTATAAAGGGAAATGGAAAGGACTTAGTCAAAGTCCGAATGACAATGGGACAACACTGAAAGGTGCCAAATGATACCGAGAGGTACCGAAAGGTCCCGAATGATATCTTTAACGGGGAACCAAGGTGTCGGACCATGGAGGGCAGAGTAAGAGGCCGGAAAATGAATGGGAACGAGAAATGGGTAAGGGGGGGTTAGCTGACTGAATGGTAAGAAGAAGATAGTCGTGCTAAGAATGGAAGGTGACTAATAAGTGATGACGTGAGTGAGATCACCGAAGGATGCGGGTAACTCCGAAAGTGGAGTTGCGTATCCGAAGGATATTGGGTGACTCAAATAAATGAAATGGGTGGAGAAATGGTTTAAGGGTGTGTCATGGGATGTCGGAGGTCCGTCGGGGTATCGGAGCAAATCCGGAGTCTCCAAATGTTCTGACTCAGGACCGAGCTTCCGGGATGGGAGTGGCCAAGGTTCAGTGTGCCGCAACCAGACCAGAGCTGAGACAGTCAGGAGGGAAGG